GGGCTGCAGGGGGTTCCAAAAGTATAGTAGGGATAGTGAGGTCCAGGAACCAGTTTTGAAGGGACTCTCCAGTTGGGCTTCCAAACCGACTTGAGGTTGGGACTGGGACCGAGGGGCCTTGGGTGGGAGTGAGCATGGACTTGGTTGGTGCCGGAGGGGCCATCCAAGGAAGTGCTCAAGAGCAGCTCCCACTCCCGAAAGGGAAACCGATTGCGGTGCTCCCGGCTCATGTGAAGTGGTGCCCCACTTGAGTACCATGCGGCTCATTGGTCCTCGCCCTTCCTAGGGTCTTGGGCCTTCCTTCGGGATGGAAGTGGGGGGCGAGAGGTACCCATACCGGGCCGCTAGGCCACGGTGTTTCGCCCCGGCGTCCCGAAGCAAGTGTTGCACTCAAGACTTGGGATTTAGAGGGTCCCATGATCAAGTCTTGTGGTACCAAGGGAGGTTAGGAACCTGGAAGCTTGGTGTGCTTGGCTGCTTGTGCTTGCGGGGAGTGTAGCCGAACCTTAAGTCCAGTCTAACCCGGGGAGGGGGATTGGGAGCGATTTGGGAATCCATGGAAGGATGGCTAACACTCTGTTGCTCGTGCAGTGAGTAGCTGAAACCAAGTAGGAGCTGGTACCATAGGCAAGAACCTTGGCGAGGGAACTTAGCAAAAGCCAAGGCAGTGTTGGACGGATAGGCGAGGTAAGCTGGCAAAGTGGAAAGGAAAAATTTGTGGCTTACAATTGTTTCTTCGACAATGATTATGCATCTCTTCATTGGTGGGATGATTGATATTCTTTCATGATAATTAATTATTCTCTTTGATGGCTTATGGCTTTTTGGAATACCACATGTTCTTTGTGGTTTGCTTTGGATTGGTCTCTTGGGTTTTAGACATCAATAGGATGTTGCTGACACTTGCTTGAGCAACTCTAGTTTCTTGGTATTATTGACCAGGATTTATTCAAATTGGCTAGTGCAATAGTTGGTAGGAATGAGTGTTTGTTGGTCTTGCAACATTCATTCTGTTCTGTTAATTGTTGCTCGAGTTAGTTATGATAGATTGGGATGTTATTTTCTTCGGGTGATACATTCGCGAGCATTTTGCTTGCCAGTCGATGATACTTTGTGTTCTTTGAGTTATCTTTTGTAAGTTGTTTGGCATACTATCTACAATCTTTGGTAGTTATATTTCATCATTGAGTTTCTTTGATGATACACTAGCTATTGAATTTTGTTGGATATTCAATCCTATGTTTCCAAAATTGATGATCTTGGTGGTTTCTGTACTATAATACTAATTTATCGGATGATAACTTACTTGGAATACTTTTGTGTTCTAATTTAAGCATTATTAATACTTAAGACTCTAAGATATCATTGTCTAATGACTTTGATATTGTCTATTTATTGATCTTTGAGTTTGGGCCAGTAATGGGTAGACTGGCTTCGGCACTTCGTGTGCATGCTGAAATCTCTAATCATGGGGTAGCTACTATCGATTGGTCACATAACCCGCCTCTCTGTCAATGTTCCTTATTCCGTTGAAAGGGCGTGACCATATAAACAACTCTAACTACCTGTTTACAATAGTCTATCTAAACCTTACCGACGGGTTTGGTTTCTTTGCTCATGAGGGTTGGGGCTTTTGGCTTCTTTCTCTATATTCCTGTGGGCAGGGGCGTATCACACTTTTGTAAGCTGGGTGACTCCCAGAGCAGCAAGGGTGGCTAACTTTGTTGGTCATTTCCTTGTCGGCGACGGCCAGAAGGTGTCTGAGCTGGTAGCGCATCCGCGTTAGACAAAGAGGTTGCCTCCTAACTCATTTAAGTTGGTGCATTTCTCAGATAGTGTGAATACCATGAACATTTTTTAGAGTTGTTTCCTTGGCGGTATTCTAGACTCGAGTGTGCATCGACGAGGATGTCAATCTTCCCTAGGGGGGAGAGTGTTGCAAATGTGACTTCGGGTATTGAAAGTTACCTGTCGGCTAGTCCTTTCGGATATTCTTTTCTTATTGCCACGATGGCAGAAGGTTAGTATTGCTGGACCTGTTATCAGTTTCCCACTTGAGCTAGTTGAGAAACTGGTCAATGACCATGTACTTAGATCAGATAAACATAAGGTAGGAACCCTATGTGTTTCTTGCTGAGCATACTCGGCCTGGTTTGAGAAACTCCTGTCATTGGCTTGCATTTGCTAGTATCAAGAACCCCCGCGATATTGAGATTGGTCCCTCAATATCACTAGATGATAGCTTACCGTGTCTGCCAAAACACCCTCGCTATCATGCCCTTTGTGTTGGTCTCATTTCGGTCCCAAATGCTATTTATGGAAAGTGTCCAGATTTGCTTATTTGGCATATCTACGGAATGTAGAGATTGTCCTAAACACAATGGTGTTCGTCCCATGTCAAAATTCACAATCTAGGGATATTCCATATTTAGTAAGTTTTGAGCTTGTCCCAGAGACTAACTCCTGATACTAAGGGACGCTTGGGGTGAAAGCTCAAAGCGTGTGTTCCTCAAGAGGGGGGGGGAGGGGGGGGGGGGCGGGGTTGTGGGGGGGTTCCAAATGTATGGATAATAGGGATAGTGGGTAGGTTGGGCATGGCCAACTAACTAGATGCATAGTCTAGTTCCCGCTTGCATGCTTGTCCTTGTTCTGCATCTGGCTTGAGTTTAAGCCCAAGTTTCATTCCATGCTAACTGGTGGAGTACCCATGTCCTCGCGTTAGGCCACCAATATGCCAAAATAGTGCTAGACTCCGTTTGGCCCTATTTTGCGTGCTAGTCCTGACAATGGGATGTTGGTTGCTCTAGGACTATTCCAAGTCGCTCCGGGCTCCTGTCCCTTCGCTCCTTGGGCTTTATGCTCGGGAGTTACTCCATGGTTCGGTTCCATCACTCCTTGGCTCCACGCTTGGAAGTTTGGCACCGTTCCTTTGTTCAGTGGCCCAAGGCCCTGAACCTCGGGTTCCACACCACGTTCCTTTGGACACGTGGCATGTGACATGTGGCATTTGTCACGTGGCACAAAAAGGGTTTAGGTTGCGCTTTGTGGTGTTATCCTATGGTAAATCACCATAGGATAAAGGGCCAAAACCACGTGCACTACAATAAGAGTTTAAATCCTATAAGTAAAGGTTCAATTCTATTCATAGCTAGTAATGATGAATATAGTACTTACTAAATATAGAGAAATAGATATGTGACAAAACATAAATTTTTATTATAGTATTTTAATGAATTTTTTAATAAATGAAGCCTATTTTAAAACTAAAATTTTTTAAAAGTAATTTATGTTCTATTTGACATATGGCTACCTTTTGTATAATGGCAACAAGTATATAACCTTATACTAAAATTTTATTTACTATATTTTTTGTTATATAATTTTTATGGCTTTATATTACTTGATCCTATCAGTTTTATTATTTATTTATATTCAAAATTTTAGTTATAGTTATATTGATGCTGATTTTGGAAAAGAAAATGAAATTAGTTCTTTTGATATGGATTTGATTTGGATAGGGTTTAAAAATTTAATAAATACAATAACAGATACAGATTTAGAAAGATACCCTCCAGAATGGTATAATATTGATTATGTTCTCCTTTCAAGAGGAATGGCAGTTATTAAAATAATAAGATCATGTGGTGCAGCTAGTACAGCTAAGCCAGAAAATGTATATAAAGGTTTTAATAGTGTTTTACAAGGAAGTAAAAGTATGTTAATTGCAAAAGCTGCAGAATGGGCTATTTTTAAAGCAAGAACATACACAATTTATTATAGTTTAGATGGTCAGTCTGAACCTGAGCAATTCTATAATAGGAACTATAATATAAACTCATTCTCCACATGTGATATATTTGTTAGCAGTTTAATAAGTAGAAAACCTTTTAATACTTTATTTTCTACAAAATTTTTAATTTCTCCAAACCAGAAAAACATATTATATCTACAAAGTGATTGCAACCTAGTTTTATTTTCAGGAGTAAATAAAATTTGGGATTCTAAATCAGGGAGAAACAGGGTTTTATTCTGTCGACTTCAGATACAAAACAATGGAAATCTAATTTTGGTATCAAATAGCAAGATAGAATGGTTTATAATTAATAAATATTGTTTACAAAATTTAAAGTCCGATTGTATTAATGATTCTATACTTAAAGTTCAAGATGATTGTAATTTAGTAATATATTCTTTAAAATCTCCAAATATTCCTACATGGGATACAGAGACAAATAATCATAAATTATGCCTAACTAAATAAATATAAATGGTTTGTATTCGTAAAAAAAAACTTGCTGGGAATCCAACATTATAGACATGTATGTTGTGAACAACCAGCTTTATAATAAGAGTAAGTTTTTTAAAGAGTTGAAGGAGGATTTGTATGTTAATATAATCTTATTTGTTAATTAAAATAGAAAATGTTTAAGGTGGTTTAAAACATCACTATGAAATCTGTTATTTCAATTGCTTATTCTAATAAAATCTTCATGTGTGACATATGAAATGACAACAAAAATATGTGCTTCTTGTCCCATGGGCCATGTTGGAGATTTATCATTGCCATAGTAGCCTCTTCTGGGGAGTTCACTTTATGTGAATGATGGCAAACCTTTGCATTCATTGTTCACCAAATATACCTCTTAATACCTTTAAGAATATACTTTTAAAAACCAGTGAGGCATAGACCGCACTGTCCTTGGACTTGGGATATCTTCATGCTCAACCAAGTCCTCTACAAATGCATTTGGATTGAGATCCAAAATCCAAACAATTCATATTTTTATCTGAACAATGGACAAACAGCAAGCCTATTGATGGAAATCTCAAGATAAACCTGCCCCGCATGAAACTTGCACTAGTCTCTTGCTCCAAGCTTCCTTGCCACTTCTGTCACACTCTCATCCAAAGCCTGGTGACTGGAAACATTCATTCATTGATGATGTCCACGTAGATCTTGATAAGAATATGCTTCTCCTCTTCACTTCGTTCGAGAATATTCACGTCATGAAACCTAGTCGGCGCAAATCTCCGTCTTTCTCTTCCACAGTGACGCCCAGAGTGTTGCCCAGCGAGACGTACGAGGAGCAATCCTCGGGGTCTGCCGCCACAGCATCCCGGGCTATCCGCGCGGCACGGCTCACGTCCTTGTGGACCTTGCATGCCGCCAGCAGCATCCCCCACGCCACCTCGTCGGGGACGAACGGCATGGTGGCGATGAGTTCTTCCGCGCTGGACAGCAATCCCGATCGCCCAAGAACATCGATCATGCAGAGGTAGTGCTGGCTCAGAGGCCTCAATCCATGATCCTCCCGCATGGACACGAAGAGCTCCCAGCTCGTCTCCAGCAGCCCGGCGTGGCTGCAAGCCGTGAGAACCGTGACGAAGGCGACCTCGTCCGGGCTGACGCCTTCCACGATCATCCGCCAGAACACCTCCACCACCTGGGAGCAGTAGCCATTGTGCGCAAACGCTGCCATGATCGCCGTGCATGAGATCTCGTCCTGCTGCGGCATTCTCGCGAAGAAACTCTTGGCCGTCTCCACGTCGCCATTGGCGGCGTATCCACCCAGCATGGAGATCCAAGACAGCGCGTCTCGCTCGGGCATCGCCAAGAACAGCTTCTTCGATTCGCTTAGATGCCCGTGGAGCGCATACGCGTAGAGAATGGCGGTCCACGAAACTACGTCCTGCTCGGGCATGCGATCAAACACGCGCCGCGCTCCCAGGAGATTTCCGGCCTCACCATAGCTTTGGATCAAACCAGTCCACGCGACAACGTCTTTCTCGGGCATCCGATCGAATAGTTGCTTCACTTCCTCCACATCTCCTCTTTGAGCATATGCGGCAAGAAGAGCGTTCCAAGAGACCTCGTTTCTCTCTGCCATGGAATCAAACATCTTTCTCGCTTCCACCACGTCTCCGTCCTGTGCGTACGCCGAGACCATCATCGTGCAAGCGAGAACGTTGTGATCGGGCATTCTATCGAAGAGATCTTTTGCTTCTTTCACAGCATGGCCACCTTGAGCATAGCCTGAGAGGAGTCCGGTCCACGAGAGGCTCGTCCGCGAGGTCATTTTATCAAACACTCTCTTCGCGCTCTCGAGATACCCGCATTGGGCATACGCTCCAATGATCGCGCTCTGCGCGCCCTCGTGACGATCGCGATCGGGCATCTCCTCAAAGATGTCCTTGGCTTGCTGGATCCGGCCGCTCGATGCGCACGCCGAGAGGATCGCTGTCCAGGAGACGTAATCGTGCTGCGGCATTCGCGTGAAGATGATCCTGGCCCCATCCAGATCGCTGCTGATGACACTCGCTTGGAGCATCGCTGTCCAAGAGACTATGCTCCTCTCCTGGATCTCGTCGAAGTTCCTTTTGGCCTCCTCCACAAACCCGGCTTGAGCATAAGTGATCAGCATTGCGTTGTAGGAGATCGTGTCCTTCTCGGGCATAGCTCGAAAGATTTCGATGGCTTTCTGCGTGTGACCTCTCTGAGAAAACGCTGAAAGTAGGGAGTTCCACGACACGATCGTTCGCTTGGGTAGCTTGTAGAAGCAAGCGGTCACAATCTCAAAATGCCCCTTTTGGGCAAATGCAGTGATCATGCTGTTCCAAGAGATTTCGCTGCGACCAGGCATAGCATCAAAAAGAAGTTTCGATTCCGTCACTGACCCAGCCTGACTGTAGGCAGCGATCATGGTGTTCCACGAGACGATCGTCCTGGCAGGCATAAAGTCGAAGATTATCCGTGCTTCCTCTAGATGCCGAACCTGGGCAAATGCAAGAACAATGACGTTCCATGACACCACACTCCTCATCCCCATGCTGTCGAACGTGAGTTTGGCTCCGTGGATCTGCCCGTTGTGCGCGTGAGCAACCATGAGAAGATTGCGCGAGTAGCCATCCGGCGCATCGATGCTCTCGAACACCTCGCGGGCGTCTTCCACACTGCCGCATTTGCCATACATTATCACCAGCTGATCCAGCACCAGCTTGTTGCCGCGATTGGGGCTGTCTAGAATCTGGGCGTGGAGCCGCCTGGCCTCTCCCAGATGCCTGGATCGGGCACAAGCCCGGACGAGATCGACGATAGCATCTGGGCATTTCCCCAAAATCATCCATGCCCAGCGATTGTTAGGGTTTCAGGGTTCTTGGCGATGGCGGTGATCAGGAGGAGCGGAAGCGCGGATCGTCCTCTCGATGGAATCCATCGCGACGCGAGGATTGCGATCGGCGCCTTCGCATTTCGTGCGAATCGAACCAGCATTCGCCCTGCCAGGTACCGCAAGAGATTTTTACTGCGAGATTAGCAGCAAAGCACCGCTTATCCGGATGTGTGAAGGGATGAGACGCTGGCGCGCTTTAAGAAAAGAAGAGGATCATGTCCATGGCGATGGCTGCCGCCAATCTGGAGCGATCGAGCTTGGTGGCGACCACGGCATTGCTCACGGTACGCGACTCGGTGAGCGCTCCTCGGACATTCCGGCCGCACCAAGATAGGCTCACAATCCGGGAACACTTCGCGCTCTACAAGAAGAATTCGCTGCGAAGAGTGGACAGATGGGTGGGCAGTGACAGTCCAATCTCTGTTCTAGAGAGGATTGTCCAGGGTGCCAGTGACGAGCAGGCATTGCGAGTGGCTCTGGACGAGTATAGGGGACAATTATCTCCAGAGATTGTCGGCAAGGTACTCCAGAGACTGATCGATCCAGGGGCCGCATTGGTGTTCTTCGAGTGGGCCGAGACGAGAGATGGCTACCAGCACGAGATCTTTTGCTGCAATTGCCTGCTCAACGTTCTCGTCAAGGCTCACCAGTATAGCCAAGCTCACGATTTGTTTCGGAGTAGAATCGAGGGGCAGTGGGGCGGCGACACGGTCACTTACAGCACTTTGATCAGTGGTTTCATACGAGCAGGGAAGATCTTGCCAGCTTACGAGCTCTTCGACGAGATGAATCGAAAGGGTCTCAAGGCCCACGCTGGAGTACACAAGAGCATCCTCAGGGGTCTGTGCGATGCCGGCCAGTGCTCGGACGCGGTGCTCCACTTTCGGGAGATGAGCAAGACGTGCCCGCCGGACTCGGTGACTTACAACACGATGATCAACGGGCTCAGCAAGTCGGACAGGCTAGACGATGCTATCCGGCTCCTGGAAGAGATGGTGGACAATGGCTTCGCTCCAAACGTTTTCAGCTACAACACCGTGCTGCATGGTTTCTGCAAGGCCAACCGTGTGGAGAATGCTCTCTGGCTGCTGGAGCAAATGGTGATGAGGGGATGTCCTCCGGACGTCGTGAGCTACACCACAGTGATCAATGGTTTGTGCAAGTTGGATCAAGTTGATGAGGCTTGCCGGGTGATGGACAAGATGATCCAAAGAGGATGCCAGCCAAACGTGATAACTTACGGGACGCTGGTGGACGGTTTCTGCCGAGTTGGAGACTTGGATGGTGCCGTGGAGCTCGTCCGGAAGATGACGGAGAGAGGATACAGGCCGAATGCCATCACTTACAACAACATAATGCACGTCTTCTGCCGGAGGAACGACATGGAACGAGCTCACCAAGTCTTGCAGATGATGATCCAAACCGGGTGTCCTCCCGATGCGATCAACTACAGCACGATCATTTCCGGGTTCTGCAAGGCTGGAAAGCTACGCGAGGCACACGACCTTTTGGAGCAGATGATTCGACGTGGATGTAGGCCGGATGTTGCCTGTCTCAGCACTCTCATCGACACGCTTTGCAAGGCAGCAGCGATCGACTCGGCACAGGAGCTTTTGCGTATGAGCATCGGCATGGACTGTGCTCCAGACGTGGTGGCCTACAGCATCTTGATCGACGCACTGTGCAAGGCTAAGAGGCTGCCAGAGGCTGAAAGCTGGCTGGACGTTATGGTGAAGAACCGGTGCTACCCCGACGTGGTGACCTACAATAGTGTCGTGGATGGTCTCTGCAAGTCCAGGCGGATTAACGATGCCTTTCTTCTGTTCGACAGGATGAGAGCAGCAGGCGTGATGCCAGACGTGGTGACTTACAGCATCGTCATTCACAGCTTTTGCAAGGACAATAACCTCGACTCGGCCTTTAAAATGCTGGAGCGGATGAAAGAGGCGAAGTGTGTTCCGGACGTGGTCACGTACAGTGCTCTCATCAATGGTTTGTGCAAGGCCGGAACAGTTGACAAAGCTTTTGACGTTTTCCAGGAGATGCTGGGATGCGGCTGTGCTCCCAATCTGGTGACTTACAACACGCTCATCGACGGCCTCTGCAAAATCAACAAAGTCGAGCAAGCAGCTGAGATGCTGGAGATCATGAGGAAGCAAAGCTGTACACCGGATTCTATCACTTACACTTGTCTTATCAACGGCCTCTGCAATGCATCTCGTTTGGAGGAAGCCTGGCGAGTTCTCAGGGAGATGAAGGACAAAGGTTGTCTACCGGATAGGATGACTTACGGCACGCTTCTAAGAGCTCTGCAGAAGACCAACAATCTGGAGCTAGTGGAGCAACTTCTGAAAGAAATGGAGGCGACAGAAGAGGTAAACAGCCAAACTTTCGTTTACGTATAGATTTTTATCTGATAGCCATGGCTTTCTGCAGGTCATGTGTTGCTGACATTGCAAACAGGAGTTTTAGATCAGGATACGTGCCAGAAGGTTTGACAGGAAACTGAAGATGTTTAAAGAGATCGAAGAACAGGCCTGCTGGTTAATCGTAAAATGGGCGAGGTCTCTCCAAAAGTTCGGACTTTGTGTCGATCTGTGCGATCGAGGTCCCAAGTGGAAGACTATAGGGGAAAATGACTTCAAATTTCGGCAAGGTTGATGACATTCTTATTGGAAAAGATACTGGTTATTTATTCAAGGGACAGTGGAACGCTAACGGAGCCAGACTGCACCGATAGGCAAGTGACTTGTTATAAGAGGTAATTAGCATTTGTTTTTCAGACTTTTAACTTTTCTGAATAACCATGACTTTGTCCCAGGTGATGTGTTGATGATGGCTATGGCGGTTCCTATGGCCGCCTTGACGAGCCAAACTCGAGTTCTAGATTCCAAAGACCAGCAGGGCCAATTTTCTCCTAGGCCTCACCAGTACAGAGTAACAGCAGTAGCGACGCAAGGTGGTTTTCATCACAAGATTGTAAGGATACTCAACAGCAGGTGTGCTTGGGAGTACGCAGAGACGGCACTGGAGAGATTCACAGGGAAGCTCACGACAACAGTAGTCGGGAAGGTTTTACAGGGCGTTCGGAATGGCGATGCTGCCTTGGGATTCTTCGACTGGGCTACTTCTCAAGAAGGATACAACCACGACACCTATACGTGCAACTGCTTGCTGCAAGCGCTCTTGAGGCTCAAGCGACCCAAGGATGCGCTACAGGTGTACAGGAACAAGCTCTGCTGCTCGCCCAACATGTTCACTTTTACCATTTTGATCCACGGGCTTTGCAGAGCTGGAGATATCGGGACTGCTTACGCGCTCCTCAAAGAGATGCCCAGGCATGGCGTTCCACAAAACGTTATCCTCCACAACGTCGTGATCAAGGGGCTGTGCAGTGGCAGAAAGCTTGACAGTGCGTTGCAGCTGTTCAAAGAGATGGAAGAATCGGGGAGCTGCCCGCCTGACGTGTTCACTTACAGCACAATCGTGGACTCGCTCGTGAAGTCTGGGAAAGTGGACGATGCTTGCCGGCTTGTGGAAGCCATGGTTTCGAAAGGATGCTCTCCAAACGTTGTTACTTACAGCTCGCTGCTTCACGGGCTCTGCAAGGCCGGGAAGCTCGACGAAGCGACGGCTCTCTTGCAGAGAATGACTAGAAGTGGCTGCTCTCCCAACATCGTCACTTACAACACGATAATCGACGGTCACTGCAAGCTAGGAAGGATTGACGAGGCGTATCACCTCTTGGAAGAGATGGTGGACGGCGGCTGCCAGCCAAACGTTGTCACTTACACGGTTCTTCTCGACGCATTTTGCAAGTGTGGCAAGGCTGAGGATGCCATCGGCCTGGTGGAGGTGATGGTGGAGAAGGGATACGTGCCAAATCTCTTCACTTACAACTCTCTACTGGACATGTTTTGCAAGAAGGACGAAGTAGAGAGAGCCTGTCAACTTCTAAGCTCGATGATCCAGAAGGGCTGTGTTCCAAACGTGGTGAGCTACAACACAGTCATAGCAGGGCTTTGCAAGGCAACCAAGGTACACGAAGGCGTTCTCCTCCTCGAACAGATGCTTAGCAACAACTGCGTGCCAGACATCGTCACATTCAACACCATCATCGATGCTATGTGCAAGACATACAGGGTCGACATAGCTTACGAGCTCTTCAACTTGATTCAGGAGAGCGGCTGCACGCCAAACTTAGTGACTTACAACTCGCTGGTTCACGGGCTTTGCAAGAGCAGGAGGTTCGACCAGGCTGAATACCTCCTCCGAGAGATGACGAGGAAGCAGGGATGCTCACCCGATATTATCACTTACAACACGGTCATCGATGGTTTGTGCAAATCCAAGCGTGTGGATCGGGCCTACAAGCTGTTTCTCCAGATGCTCAGTGACGGTCTAGCTCCGGACGATGTCACCTACAGCATCGTCATCTCCAGCCTCTGCAAGTGGCGCTTCATGGACGAAGCAAACAACGTCCTGGAGCTCATGCTCAAGAATGGATTCGATCCAGGCGCGATAACTTACGGGACGCTCATCGATGGCTTCTGCAAGACTGGAAACCTGGACAAGGCCTTGGAGATCCTCCAGCTCCTGCTCAGCAAAGGCTCGTATCCGGACGTGGTGACTTTCAGCATCTTCATCGACTGGCTGTCCAAGCGTGGAAGGCTTCGCCAAGCTGGTGAATTGCTGGAGACAATGCTGAGAGCTGGACTGGTTCCCGACACTGTCACGTACAACACACTGCTCAAGGGGTTTTGCGATGCTTCTCGGACAGAAGACGCAGTCGACTTGTTTGAGGTGATGAGACAGTGTGGTTGCGAGCCCGACAACGCAACGTACACCACCCTGGTCGGCCACCTTGTCGACAAAAAGAGCTACAAGGATCTGCTAGCAGAGGTTTCGAAGTCGATGGTGGACACCGGGTTTAAGCTCAACCACGAGCTCAGCTCCAAGCTCGAGGCTTCGGTGAGCGCGAGCTGACTGAGATGAGTATCAGCAGAGCATGAGAGATGGTGAACTCGGCAGGCTTGCAAATCTTCTCCGTCGGCACGGAAACGAGAAGGCCCTTGCTCATGGAAAGCAGCTACACTGCGAGCTTGCCAGGCTTGGATGCGAGAAGGAGTCGCTTATCGGGGGCCTGTTGGTGCGAATGTATGGAAGCTGTGGAAGATTGGAGGAATCATGCCAGGCATTCGACCGGACGAGGCAGCGTAGTGTTTTCACCTGGAATATCATGATGGTGGCGTATGCCCAGAACGGGCATATAAGTCTCGCAAGGAAGACTTTTGACAAGAGCCCGAGTCACAACGTCGTGCTGTGGAATAGCATGCTTACTGGATACGCACAGAACGAGTACGTGACTGAAGCCAAGCTCTTTTTCGACGAGATGCCGGAGAGAGACACAGTTTCCTGGAACGCCATGATCTCCGGTTACGTCCAGAACGGGCACTACGGGGACGCTCTCCAGCAGTACAGGCAACTGTGCCTGGATGGCCTTGAGCCCACGAGTGCTACTTTCGTCAGCTCCTTAGATGCCTGTGCGAAGCTACAGTCCCTGGAAGATGGCGAGAAGGTTGCGTCTCATATAGATGAGAGGCCGGGTGTCACAGGCCTGTTGGCGAGGAACGCGCTACTCTTCATGTATAGCCAGTGCGGGTGTAGCGACTACGCAGCGGAGCTCTTTCACAAAATGCCCGAGTGGAGCGTTGCATCGTGGAACATCGTCGTCGCAGCGTATGCTCAATCCGGACGTATGGAAAGAGCTATCGAGCGGTTCGAAAGTATGCCCGAGCGAAGCACAATTTCGTGGATTGTGATGATCACGGCTTATGGCGAGGGAGGCCGAGTTGACCAAGCCAAGAGGACGTTTGATGCGGTTCCGGAGAAGGAAAAGGAGAAGGAGATTATGTGCTGGAACGCCATGCTCGGAACTTACTGCCAGAACAGACGTCTCAGCGAAGCGGAAAGCTTCTTCCGTGACATGCCTCAGAAGAATGCTATCTCCTGGAGCACGATGATCACGGCTTTTAACCACGCTCAGCGGCCGCGAGATGCGTGGAAGTATTACCAGGTGATGAATCTGGATGGCGCAAGGCCGAGCTGTAGCACTCTCGGGGTTGCTCTTAATGTTTGCTCGACTGCGATGGACGTCAAGAGCGTCCACGAGAATTTCCTTTGGAGATACTCGGAAGTGGACGTTGGTTTTGCTCTCGCTCTGGTTCGAAACTACGGCAGACTGGGACGGATCAACGATGCAAAGTCCGTGTTTGATAAGTTTCCTACGGACGCACTGCTAGCTTCGGCACTGGTCACGGCATTTGTCGAGAATGGCTGCCTCCAAAATGCCAGGGAGCTCTACGCAAAGATGGCAGTAAAGGACGTTGTGAGTGGAACAATCCTTCTAGCAGCTCACGCTCAAGATGGTCAGCTTGAGATTGCCGAAGCTATCTTTCATGAGATGCCAGCCAAGGACGTGGTCGCCTGGAACGCCATGGTCTCGGCCTACTCTCAGGCCGGCTATGCGAAGCTCTCTCTCGATTTACTTCCAGTGATGGACATGGATGGCATACAGCCCGACGCTGCAACTTTCGTGGTCTTGCTCCACGCTTGCTCCTTGATGAACTCGCTGGCTATCGGTGCAAGCATCTACTCGTTGGTGATCGAGCAGCAGATCGAGGTGGAGGCGGACGTGAGGCTGGGCTGTGCCATCGTAGACATGTTCGGCAAGTGTGGAAGTCCCCAAGACGCGAGGAGAGTGTTCGAGAGAATGGATCAGAGGAACGTCGTCCTGTGGAGTGCGATGCTGGGCGTCTATGTCTTTCACAAGCAGGAGGAGCAAGCCTTTGGCCTGTGGAGAGTGATGGGCTTGGAAGGTGTGGAGCCCGACGCTGTGACGTTCCTCAGCCTCCTTACAATGTGCTGCCATGCGGGGCTACTCGATGCTGCTGTGGACGAGTTCGTTTCTATCTCCAGGGACTATGGACTAGAACCGGGAGTGGACCATTTCTCGTGTGTGATTGATCTTCTCGGGAGGCTTGGGCTCGTGAATGAAGCTGAGGATTTGATGCTGGGCATGCCGTGCAAGCCCAGTGCTGCTACCTGGAATTGCCTGCTCAGTGCTTACAAAATTTGCGGTGACTTAGAGAGAGCCTTGCAAGTTGCTGAGCTCAACCCAGCTCAAGCCTCGTACCTTTTGCTCTCAAACATGTATGCTCAATACGACAAGTCAAATTAAAAATAAATCCTGCTCTCTCTTCAAAAGAAAAGGAAAGACTCCGTATCAAACATCTCAACTTTTATCTGTCTAATTTCTCATGCTGTTAATGTACAGTTAGAGAACAAAACGATGTTCAAGAAAAAATTCATGAACGTAATAACGAGGAAGAAAAAATTACTTTTCTTTCAATCTTTTATTTATTTTTATTTTTTTTAATATACCAACACTGTCTAAAGATGCATTAGACATGTCAATGGACTTGTCGTGTATGGGTATGTCAATGGAGGAGCTAATTCAAGTGTCTTGTTAGAGAGGATGAAGCTCGCATCAAGAAGCGCAAAAGTGGCAGCCAGTATAGCAAGGATGTTCTAATGATCAATGAGCCATTCCTCTTCTTTGTGTCAACTTCTCCTTCCGTGAACAAGGTAAGAGAATTGAGAGCAGAGTTTTCAAATCGAGAAGGAACGAATCCTGTCACTGGAGTTTCCTGACTGGGTGCTGGCCTTCTCCAGACCTTGGGGACTGCAAGACGAACACGTCCACGAGAAGGAAGACGGGGGGGAAGAGGAAGATGATCCCTGGCTGATCAGACTGTCCGATAATATGGACCGAAACTCGCAGGCTTGTTCGTAGACGAAGTTTGCATGAGATTTTTTCATTCTTCATGACTCGTTGTTGCATCATTAACCGGACTGTACATTGCCACCTCATACTCCGGCACAAGCATATCATGAAACCGAATGCTAACTGAGTATAGGGGTGCACGTAACTAGAATCGTTCACCTTTCCTTCTTTGATAACATCCTCGATGTCTTGTGATTGTACTGTAAAATACACTGAACTCAAAGCTTGTTGCACGGTAAATCTCTCCTCAAATCAATCAGCGTATACCAATCGCTCTCCACTTATCCCAGCTCAAGTCAAAAGGGTTTTCTCCCAAAAGCATCAGTGCAAATACAACTCCAGCGCCCCACACCATCTTTTCGGCCTCCCCGGAAATAACTTCCAGAGCCCTGTATCCCAATGATCCAGTAACTTCTGGCTTCGGTGGAGTTGAAAGCCCCCTTGCGCTTTGGAAATCCCCCAGTTTCACCAAAAAGTTGCTGTGCCTGATACACGCTGGCTGAACATCCTGGTCCACAAGATCGCGTTCGGGCAAGCTTGCCAAGCCCACCAAGAGTTGCCGCATGATTTCTTTGATTGGAGAGAAATGCACTTGCTCGTCCCTTTTGAGATACAAGCTCTTGATGTTGCAGAGAAAACCATACGAGCTCTCACTACGTTCTCGTGTTTGCATTCTCTCTCTTTAAGTACACGATAGTAACTTTGTTCTCCTCATTGCAAAAGCTATATGCCCACCTTTGCATTCATTTGTGGTGATTTATAAATGATGTAAGCAATTAAATCTTTACGTATTTGTGGTTGGCATTTTGGACAGGTTCTCGAGCAATAGAAGTGCTGCGGGGTCACAGCGGATACTCTGTCCAATCTGTAGCCCAAGCCCAAGTTCCAATTCCTTGTGACTCTTACACGCACTCAGCAAGGATTTCCAATCAATGGCATCTGCGCTGTATGGCATGTTCCTGATCAGATCCTCAGCCTCTCTAGCAAATCCCGCCCTTCCAAGAAGATCAACCATGCATCCAAATTGCTGCTTGGACAGATGCAATCCATGATCAAAGGAGATCGATTTGCAGTAATGGATTCCGGACCGCGTGTTACCAGCATGGCTTGAGGACACGAGTGCGCACACAAAAGAAGCGTCGTTGGGTCTAAACCCCGTGACCATCATCTCGCTCAAGAGCTGCAGCGCATAACTAGATCCAGTCTTCTGGAAGGACACGAGAGATAAGATCACATTCCATGCCACTGTATCATGCTCTGGCATTCGATCAAACCACTTCTTTGCACCACGCACTCCAGTCACCGCCAGCATCACACTCCAAGATATCACATTACGATCAGGAATCAGATAAAACAAGTCAATCACCTCGATGAGATTGCAGCTCTGGGAGCTCGCCGCTAGCATCACGTTCCAAGAGCAAGTGTCACGATCTGGCATCTCCTCAAACAACGCCCTCGCATCTTCCAAATGCCCATTTGTGGTGTAGGCCACGAGCATTGACTTCCAAGAGACAAGGTTTCGATCAGGCATCCAATCGAATATTACTTTCGCGTCCTCGAGATAGCCGTGCTGGGCGTAAGCCGAAACCAGAGCCGTACACGACACAAGATCCTTGCACGGCATTTGATCGAACAGATCCTTCGCCTCCCGCAAATGCCCGCACTTGGCACACGCAGAAAGAAGTATGTTATACGACGTGTGGTCGCAAAACGGGATCTTTGCAAACAGCATTCGAGCTTTTCTTATATCCCCGGATTGTGTGTATGCAGACAGCATGGCATTCCAGGAGACAAAACTCCACTCGGGAGTCCCGTCGAATACTTTCTTCGCGTCCAACACATGCCCGTTTTGGGCATATGCAGAAAGCATAGCGTTCCAGGAGACTGTGTCTCGAACGGGCATCGCCACAAACAGTGCTTTGGCCATTTCCAGATCCCCATATTGTGAGTGAGCAGCCAGCATAGTGTTGTACGATACTACGTCGTAAGTGGGCATCTTTTGAAAGAAGGCTCTACAGTCGGACATATGCCCATTGTGGGCATATGCAGCGAGCATCAAGTTCCAAGTGAAAACGCTCCTGGGCGAGATGGAATCGAAGATCCGGCGGGCGTTTTCCACGCTCCCACACCGCCCGTACGCCTGGATGAGGAGATTCGAAAGGTAGACCCTGTGATCCGGAAGGAAACTCTCCTGCTGGATCAACGCATCCATTTTCTCCGCTTCCACCTTGCTCCTGCAAACCTTGAGAAGATGGATGCATTCGTCCACGCTCAACACCTCCGCGCTCCTCGCCGCCGCCATGGAGATGGACGCATTCCAAAAAGAATAGTATTATTTCCAGAGAAATAAAGAATAGCTACGCGATTATCTAGCTATCATCTATCCCCACTTGAAAATGGCGCTCGCCCACGTAAGACCAGCTCCAAAACCCGCGGAGGCGATCACGTCGCCGCGCTTCACTTTGCCACTCCGGACCGCCTCGTCCAGCGCCAGAGGAATGGACGCGGCACTCGTGTTGCCATAGTTTACCAAGTTGGATAACACTCTTTCCTGCGATATCGCCAATCTCTCGGACACTGCGTCTATGATTCTTTGGTTTGCCTGGAAGAACAAAAAAAAGAGAGAGCCGCTCCAAGAAGAACTTAGAATCACGACGAACCTGGTGGAGTAGAAGCCAATCGATGTGGTGATTCTCGAGACCGGCCTCTTGCAACGCGGCCTCCACAACTTGAGGAACCGAGCGTACAGCAAATCGAAACACCTCTCTCCCGTTCATCTGGACGCATTGATACGATGGTGGTCTCGCAGGAGTGCTGATGGTTGTGGATCCATTTCCATTGTGGAGGATCTTTGCGTCCTCCGCTGGCTCGATCCTTGCGTGGAGGTGTCTGGGAAAAAAAAGAGTAAATCCAGGGTCCTGCAAAGCAATGAATCAAATCAGGATCTTACTTTTGTCCGCTTCCATCGGTGTGCATATCAAAGCCAAGCAAACTGTCCTCGTCCTCGCTGCACGCCTGGAAATCATCGCAAGCTCATCCACAAACAAACACGAAAAGTTCGTCTTTTCTCGTCACAGTACCTGTAAAACCACAGCTCCAGCACCGTCGCCGAAAAGAATACACGTCGATCGATCGCTCCAGTCGACATATCTCGACAGTGCATCCGCGCCAACCACGAGAGCCGTCTTGTATCCACCTCCTGCAAGAAAGAGCTCGAGTTTTTGTGAGATGGAAAGAGAAAAGATAAAGGAGCGCTTTTGCTTCTCTCGATCGATTGACCACCTTTGATATATCGTGTAGCAGTAACGAGGCCCACGACGAAGCCGCTACATGCCGCAGTTAAGTCGAAGGCGAGCGCGTTGGAGCAGCTGAGCTCGCGCTGGATCTTGCGGGAGGAAACGAGAGAATCAATGAAAAAGATGGAAAGCCGGGCGTTTGATCGATACCTCGGGAGCACCACCGAACGTATCTTCCGCAGAGGATGTGCAAAACAAGATGAGATCGAGATCTTCAGGCTCTACTTTCGCCATTTCCAGAGCCCTCTTGCATGCATCCACAGCCAGGCCCTTGAGAGTCTCCTCACCTGCGCGTGCTCGAGCGATTTAGCTCTAGCCCTCTCTCTCGAGCTCTAAAGCTCGAGCTTTCTAAGCTCAAACAAGAAACTAAAGAGCAAAACTCTTGCCTGAGAGGACGCGGCGCTGTTCGATCCCAGTCCGAGGGAGGATCCACTCGTTGGAGGTGTCCAGGAACTTAGACAAGTCATCGTTGTGGATCACTTGCTTGGGCACCGCCGAGCCACAGCCGATTAGCTTCGTGCCGCTTCCAACACGCCTGGAGGAGCAACAGAGATCGCGATCAAGAGAAATCTAGGCAGCGATTGATCCACATCCATGCAAACCTTTTAGCAGCTCTGGGCTCGCTGGGCTCCTTGACGGTGGTGACTAGAACGCATCTAAAACCCTGCGCATTCGCACTCACATTTTGCCTGCGTGGATTGAGCGCGAGGATCCGCGTGCTAGTAGAGAGCGCCCGGCTGCTGGAGAGCGAGCACCCATAGCTGGAGGGAGATGCCATTTCCTTTCCGCGCAATTAGCGGACAACCCTATGAGCTCGCTCTGGCAAAGGCCAGCCATTGGCTCGAGCCTCGGTACCGAGCCAGCCCAAATACCGCCGAGCCTACGACTTTTTTTTTTTTGCCCCTTCTTTGTCTGTTTTTTTCCTTTCTTTGACCCCATTTTTTCTGGTCAACCATTCGAAAAGAATGACCCTATTTAGTCAAACTTTCTCTTGCCCATGGCTAGATAGTGTTGCGTGGTCGGTTCTTGCCCATAGTCAAAAGCAATCGACACGAAAATTTGCCGGGCAGCGTCTAGATCTTGGGCATTGACCAATGCGACCAGGAAATCTTTCTCGCACGGAGGCTCCACGGTCTTCATGGCGTTGAATAGGTTGACCGCCGCAAGCTTGGCGTGGGCGCACGCGGTCAGCGCTGTGCTCCATGAAACTCTACCTCTCTCGGGCATCCTTTCGAAGATCTTCAAGGCCGTGTTGGCGTGATCGATCGGTCTAGAATGGGCTGCCAGGAAGATGTCCCAGGATCTGGTATCGCGCTGGGGCATCGCCAAGAAAACACGATTGAGGAGCTCTCGATCGTCGTCTTGAGCAGCGGCGAGGAGGAGTGAATTCCAGGCGGCTAGATCGTGTTGAGGCATCTCGTCAAACATCCTCTTGGCTTCCATGATATGCCCGTTTTGGGCATAGGCAGCCAGCATCGACGTCCACGACCCCATGCTCCTCACCGGCATTGTGTCAAACTGATGCTTGGCTTCCTCTATTCGTCCACATCCAAATGCAGCAAGCATGGCATTCCAAGATCCGACGTTCCGCTCCGGCATCTGTTCGAACAGCGCTAGTGCATCACTGACTCTTCCAGCAGAAGCATAGGCGACAAGCATTGCATTCAACGAGACCAAGCTATGGTGATGCATCTGGTTGAAGATTTCTTGAGTTTTATCAGTATACCCGTTTTGAGCATACGCACACAACATTGCATTCCACATCACTATATCCTTGTGAGCCATACTGCCAAACAGCCTCTCGGAGTCTCCCATCCTTCCGTTTTGTGCATATGCAGAGAGCATAGCGTTCCACGAGACGGAGTCGTGCTCCGGCATGCGATCAAAGAGCTCCCTCGCACCCTCAAGATGCCCATTTTGGGCGTATGCCGAAAGCATTGCTGTAAAAGAAACGAGGCTCTGCTCGGGCATTGAATCAAAGACTCTCTTTGCTTCACTCAGATGCCCGGTTTGCGCAAGAGATGACAAGAGAGCAGTGTAGGAGACTGAATTGTGCTCGGGCATAATCTGGAACACAAGCAACACTTCATTGATATTACCAGCTTGGGTATTTGCAGACAAGAAAGTGTTCCAGGAAACCAGCGTCCTGAGTGGAATCTTGAAAAACACTATCTTTGCGTGGTCTATTCTGCCGCTTTGTGTGTAAGCGGAGAGAATGGTGTTCCACGAAACAAGATCCGGTACAGGCATCTCACTAAACAAAAGCTCGGCTTCATCAAAATACCCGTTTTGGGCATATGCAGAAATCATCGTGTTTAAGGATGTGGTGTCATGCTCTGGCATTCGATCCAGCATCTCTCTTGCCTGATCGATAAGCCCAGATTGAGCATACGATCTCAGCATAACAGTCCAGGCAATGAGTCCTTTACGAGGCATCCTATCAAAGAGTTGCTTCGACTCTTCCAGGTTCCCGTTCCTCGAGTAGGCAGTGAGCATGAAATCCCAGGAGATGGAATCGCGCGAATAATCCATGCTTTGGAACACCTCCTCGGCATGCTTGATACCCCCACACTTGCCGTAGACCTCGATGAGCTTGTTGAAGACGAAGGTATCATCGGTGGCGATCTGGGATTCGAGAATCTGAGCATGGATTTGCCGCACCGAGGCCAGAGTCCTGCACGAATTGAGCTGACGGATGCATTCCTGGCGATCCAGGACAAGTGCCGGTTCCATTCATGCGAGTCTAGACCGATGGAGATCGCGATCGATCAATCGTCATACGAGAGATGAGGAGAGGATTGGCAGCCAGCATCGAAGGGGTCTGGGCTGCCGCAGCAGTGCCAGTAGTGAGAGATCTCACCAGCGCCCGATGTGTTCATGGTGCCTCCCTTGTACACGCTCTCGAATTTCCTCTTGGTCTCACCTTGATCGGCGAAGATTATAAAGAGAGAGAGAACTAGCTCGAGGAAGAACTTACCACCGTAGTGTGCTGTGTGGAATCGGCAAGCTCCTGGGCTGTTGGCAAGAGGATCGAATTGCTGCTTACAATTGCGACAAGTCTTCGTCGCCATAGCCGCCACCATGACTGCTTGCAAGGACAAGGACACGATCAATCAAACCAAGCAAGAATCTTCTCTCACCTGGCATTCTCACGCCCGGGGGAATTCTCGCTCGAGGCAGCGGGGCCGAGCATGATTTGAGCGCACTGCTGCCCGCATTCCATGAAGCCATGGAGTAGAATTGTATCCCTAGCTTCCGAAAATATTCGCGTAGCATATTCATTATTTCTTTCTCGCGCATCTGGGAAGGTAAGAGGTGTTCTCTGAGCTCTAGATTTTGGGTTGGAGCAAAGAGACTTTTGAGGTAGAAACTAAAAGTTTGTTTCTTCAGGAGGCTATGGCACAAAGAAGAAGCGTTGAGACAGAGATAAAATAGCCAAGGTTCACCTTAGACACTGAGTGATTCTGATCAACAATATTGCACTACATCTCATCACTCCATTCCTGTTACTGCCAAACAACCTCTCGGAATCTACAATTCTTCCGTGCATGCCTAGCGTTCCATGAGACAGGGTCGTGCGATCAAAGAGTTTTTTCAAGATGCCCATTTTTGGCGTATGCTGAAGAATTGCTGTAGAAAGAACAAAGTTCTTCTTGGGAATTAAATAAAACACTTCCTTCTCTTTAATAATATTCTTAGGCTGTGTAACAGATGAAAAAAGAGCAGTGTCTGAGACTGAATAGTTCTAGGGCATTATCTGGAACCTCATCAATATGACCAGTTTGGGTATTTGCGGCCATCGTCCTGAGGAGACTCTTGTATAGGCGATCATTGCTTGTCTATTTACCCGCTTTGCGTCTAAGCCAAGAAAATGATATTCTTCGAAACAGGATCCGGCTCGGCCATCTCCCTACGACTTCATAATAATACCCGATTTGGGCATATGCAGCATTCGATCCTGATCGATAAGTCCAGATTGAGTACGATATCAACATGACAGTCTTGGCAAAAACATGGTAAATGCCATGGACGAAATCTATGCCCTTTTCGGGCATATGTGCTCCTTGCAAAGAAAACACTGGGCAATTTGTCTTTTCACGGCCACCATCGATTCTCCCGCTTCTTTGTTGACAAACGCACGCCCAGTTGTTTAAGAGCCTGGATGAAAATCAAGTGCCCAACACGATCATGTCAAAGCTCTTGTTCGTTGTCACTCTGATCGCCGGGGTGCTCACGCACCGCTACCATCACGCCGCCACAGCATACTCCTCAGTCGCCCACTTGCAGTGCTTTCGCCACGAGCAAGGCCATCGCCTAGGCCGGTCCGAGATGTGCTACGCCGCCTCCTACGCCTGGGAAGCCCTCCTCTTCGATCATCCAAATGCCCCAAATGTGTACCAGGGCAGATTTGGGACGGTGGTGGTGATGCTGGGCGTCCCTCGCGTCACCGCGCACACATTCTACGATTTCATGGAAGCCATCCAGGATATCTGGGTCCTCTGCATCCAATATGGCTACACGTCCGGAATTATTCGGCTGGACGATCGATCGCTCAATGTCTACGTGCGAAATCCCCCGCGAACAGACCTCACGCTCGATTTCCACCCCAGAGGGAAAGGATCGGACCTCTCGCTCGAATTCCCTCCCGGAGAGAAGGGGTCCCCTGTTCTTGACGACGAACGAATATGCCCCGAGATCCGCGAGTAGTAGCATATTGCTATCTGATTTTACAAAATTCTTTTAGCAAGTTTTACTAAAATGGTAAATCGCATTATCTACTACGCCTTTACTGGGGAGAGTTGACTGCGCGACTAGACGAGAGGTGGTTGTTGAATTTAGGTCGAGGACCAAGCGAGCGTGGCGTGGTATGCGTGTTCTTGTTCTAGCACTCGCGGAATGGATGATTGGTTGGGGAGGAATGTAGATCGTCACCGGGAGCAGCTGATCTCCTGGAGCCAGCTGCTGTCGCGCTCCATGGCCGAGGCTGTAGATCTCGCCTCGGGCCTCGAGGCGCTCCAATCGCAGCTGGGGCGGATGGAGAGCAAGCTGCCCGCATTGCGCGCCAGGATCGCGCCGCTGCAAGAGAGGTCAGAGCAGGCTAGCAGGGCAGATCGCCACATCGATGCCGCGGTAGCGGCCGCGCGGCTGGCGCTCGAGAGATTGGAGCGATTGCGCTGGCTGGAGAGGGCTATCGAGGGCGGGGATCCCCAGCTCGACATTGCCGGCTACCTCTCGGCGGTGGCGGCGCTGGAGGAATTGCAGGGCAATGCTGCTGGTTGCCGCGGCGAGGACGAGCAGCGGCTGGTGGAGATCGCGGCGGACAAGCTGGAAGGGGAGTTTCAAAGGCTGGTAAGGGAAAGCTCTAGCGTTTGCGACTACAATCCTTGCAGCTCCGCTAGCGAGGGGGGCAAGAGTCCTAGGATGGGGAGGAATTCGTCCAGGAGGAGGAGGAAGGGCGAGCAGGCTTTGGCGGTGGTGGCATTGGAGGGCGATCATCAAACGCTGGACAAGCTCCAGATGATCTTGAAGAAGATGGTGGTGTTGGTAGCGGGAGGCTTGGAGAGGTGTGTAAGGGTCTACCAGCAAGAACGTGTGAAGAAACTTCGGCAGAGCTCGTCACTGGTGGACTGGATCATCCGCAGCTACGGGAAGAAATCTCCACAACATGACAACGAGCAACAGCTACAGTCGGAGGATTTGATCCTCGAGTGGAACGGTCACCTGGAGACCGCCATCACCATCGTCTACACTGCCGAGATTGACTTGTGCTCCAAGGTTTTCGGAGACGTGCTAGAGCCGTGGGAGGTGAACGAGTGCTTCGCAAGGATCGCAGGACCATCCGGAATGCACACGCTGCTCGAGTTTGGCGAGAGTTTCGTGCGATGGGACCGGCAGCAGCAACATCAAACTTTCCAGAGGCCGGACAAGATTTTCCAGCTGCTTGACATGTACTCGACGCTACAGCAACTTGGAGTGACAATCTCGCAGCAGCTCTTCGCCGGCAAAGGGGAGTACTCCACCCAGGTGAGGATCCGGGCGAGGGAGCTCCACAAGTTGGCGGTGGATTCGGCGTCCAAGCTCTTCTGGGGATTCAAGAACCAGCTAATCCGATCACACCAAAGTCAGCACTACATGGTGGATCTCCGCGCTCCCCAAGACGCGGGCGTAGACAAGCTTAGCAGCTACGTTGTCAACTACGTCAAGGCCGTCACCTCCGACTGCTACGTCCAGACCATGGAGCAGGTCCTCCAGATCGAGCAGAGCTGGAAAGACTCGAATCCGCTGATCAACTCGGCCAAGCCCAGGGAATTCCAGCAGCAGCGGCGGCTCATCCTGGAGCAGGCAATCGTGGAGATGATCGCGAGCTTGGAGGACGCGCTGGCGGCCAAGAGCCGGAAGTGGTACAAGGATCTCGTCCACCAGCGCATCTTCCTCATGAACAACGCCTACTACGTCTTCACTCGCGTCAAGAAGCTCAAGATCCAGCCGCCAAAGAGTGGCGGCGGTGGCGGCGACACGATCCGGCAGCTAGCGCTCACGGATTCGTGGCTCAAGGACCGGCGATCCAAGGTCCAGGAGCACGCGTTGGCCTACCAGAAGGAAGGATGGGGCAAAGTTCTGGGCCAGCTCTCCCGACAGGGATTGTTCCTCGTGTCGGGGGCGGAGGCGGCACGGCAGCTGGTGAAGCAGCGACTGGATGGCTTCACTGCCGCGCTGGAGGAGACATGCGTCAAGCACCGGGGCGTGGGGATCCCCGACCAGGAGCTGCGAGACGCGACCAAGGCCGCCGTCGTCCACAACATCGTCCCGGCCTATCGGAGCTATCTCCAGAGCTATGGCGCTCTCATTGAGGCCTCCAGTGTGAGATTTAGCGCCGCCGAGGTGGAGCAAACACTGACTCGATTGTTCGATTCCATGCAATGCTAGCATTCTTTCGTTCATTCCTTCGCTCGAAGAAGAAGAAACTCACATCACGTTCAAATTTAAATTTTAAAGGAGCCCTAACCCTAGAAACCAGGCGCGTAGGTTTAGGGTTGGTGGTTATTCACGGCCGTTTAACCGTTTCTTGGAGGAGCGCGGCGCTGGAGCTGGAAGTGGAGGCTGCGCCGCTGGATGACGGTAATCTTGCGATCACCCAGCTGGATTCACTGCTCTCGGCGCCTCAGATCTTCGAGTTTAAGAAGAATGTGCCTGGGACTGTGAGATTTGAGACGGGTCATCCGGCGGCGGCAACCGAGGGCGCCGCTGGGGTTTGGAGCTCAATGGCGTCGCCGCCACCTAGAACAGGCACTCCAAACTCTTCGAATTCGGGGAGTACTACTCCTGGCTCCTCTGGCGGCTCGCAAGCAGCTAGAAGTAGTAACAGCTCCGGCGATGGCAACCTCAAAGAGAAAGTATGTATGATCTTTGTCATTTTTTCTTTCTCTGCTTCCATTTGTTTCTCAAGCTTTGTGTGTCCATCCAGGTGAAAGTTTGCGTGAGAATGCGACCATTCCACGAACACGAGAAGATTTGCCCGCTGAAACAAGTAAGAGTTTGTAGCTTTCCTTCTTAGTTTTCCGGAAGCTGATGAGGTATGACAGGTGCTGTGCGTTCTGGGGAACAGGGTGATTGTGAAAGAACACGTCCATCCTCAGTGGCCGAAATGCCAAGAGAATGGACATCTCCAGTTTAAGGTGGACTACGTGCAGGACGATAGTTTCCTCCAAGTTCATGTAAAGGACAAGAAAGATGAGTCGCAGAAGAAGATGTTTGAAGTTTGCGGGGTTCCAACCATCGACAACGCGCTCGAAGGCTTCAACTCAACAGTATTGCCGAGACCTCTTCAAGTCTAATGGAAAGGAATTCTTCTGCTTTAGCTGACTGCTGTGCTGCTGCGGAATGGTGGCGACTAACCCGTGGTTCTGCGTTGATGCAGATTCTGGCCTACGGACAAATGGGATCCGGGAAAACGTACAGCATGACTGGCGACGGGACTCCTGAAGGTAGAGGACTGGTAAGTCTGCTTTCCAGATTGTTTTAGTTTTCATCAAGGATGAACAAGCTCAGTTTTCGTCTGCCAGGTCCCGAGACTTGCCAGCGCTCTGATGAGCAAACTAAGCTGGGAATTGAAGAATGGCTTTTGTTCGATCGAGGTACTCTTCACTTTCCATGATTTTCGAAGGCAGACAATCACATAGAACACGTTTTACAGGTGAGCTATCTCGAGATTTATCAAGAAAAAGTCCGGGACCTTCTAGCCTCGACAGTTAAGCCACCGACCTTGGTGGACTCTATGTGCCTTCGTGCGGCTCCTCTGAGGTACTATGAAAGAGCCGATGACTTGTCCACGAGTGACTCTGAGATATCAGAGACGGACACAACAGAGAGCGGGGGCTGTGGTGGTGGAGGGATGGAAACATACAGAAGGATGGCTATGCAAAGGCCGCCGGGAGCACCGTATCAGTTCTCGTCCTTCTCTTTCAATGCTCCCTCCCCGTATGGAGCAAGGACGGTGTTTCTTCGAGTGAGGGAGCACCCCGTCACGGGACCGTATGTAGAGGGGCTCTTGTGGAAAGAAGTTACAACGTGGTCAGACATGGAGAAGTGTCTCAGGATTGGCTCCTTGAACCGCATCACAGGTGATACGCAGCTCTACAAAAACTCTAGCCGCAGTCACACGCTCTTTACAATCAAGATCATCAGGGTGAGAAGTTCATCTCCTGGCTGTTGCTCCCTTGTGTCTAATGAGTTTCCTACGTGCAGAGAAACCCCGAGAGCGTGGAGGGAATGCCCGGTCATTCTGTGTGCTACATCAACCTCGTCGATCTAGCAGGTTTGTCCACTGAGTTATCAGCGATAACTCTGTCTGATCCTTTTGTTCCATTCAGGCAGCGAGAAATTGCAATGCATACCAATTGAGAGACGGGAGGAGTCAAGGCGCATCAATCGTTCTCTCTCGCTACTCAACGAAGTAAGAAAGAGGAATGCTTGTATCTCTCACGAGCTTGCTTTTTCAAGCAGGTCATCCTCAACCTGTCGAGGAGGAGTTTCGTATCGTATAGAAACTCGGCACTCACTTGGTTGCTAAGAGACTCTCTGGGTGGAAACAGCAAGACCTTCCTGGTCGCAAACATCTCCCCGGCCGAGCAGGTAAAACTATCTGGATTGGATGAATGAAAATCACTCTTTTTTCATTCTTTCTTTCTTTGTTCCAGGACTTTCAAGAGAGTGTGAGCACGCTTCGCTATGCCTCAAAAGCAAACAGGATACAGAGCGTCCTCACCGTCGGGAACGATCCCAGGAAGCGAATCATCTACAAGATGAACGAGGAAATTCGCACCTTGAATTCGCTTGTATCGTCATTGACAGAAAAGGTACAAGAACAAGATTAGATCTCTCTCTTTTCCTTCTAAAAGATTGGTTTTGGTAGAACGAGGTGACAGCCTAAGACAAGAGTCAGACGAGCACAGACTTGTCTCGCAAGATGAGCCGCGCGAGATGAAGATCGAAGAGCTCACACCTGATCGGCATCTCCACCTCGTAGAAGGGATTCTTGAGGACGTAGTCGGTGTAGAGCTCGTAGATGGTTTTCAAGAGAGCCTCGATCCCGATGGCTCCTGATTCCGCTACAACGAAGAACTTGGTCTCTGGCCAAGAAATCCATCTCGAGAATGAAAAAAAAGAGGTTTTCCATCGCATACAAGTACCTGTGAGAGATTGGAAACAATGTAAGTCGAAGGCGGTGGCTTGGAGGAGCTCGATTCCCGTGCATCCAGGAGTTGGGGAGAGCTGCTTGGAGATGGCGTGCATCGAATGCCAGAGACTCGCTAGCCTCAAGCTGTCGTTGGTGTCGAGCTTGGCTGTGGATCCATAGTCCTAGATCACACGCAAGGAGAAGAGAATTACTCCATCGCTCTCACTCACACCATTTGTTCTTCCCACCTTGTAGTAGATGAGTCCTCCAGACTTGTTGATGATGAAGAGATTGTAGATGCTAGCCATTGCCCTAGAAAAAAAGAGAGGAGGATCCATCTTTTTCCTACACTAAAATCTTTTTTTTTTTTTTTTCTCAAGGAAAAGAAGAACTAACAAGAATTAACAACAATTAAGAGGAATCGCAATCGCTAGCATCACTCAAGCAACTAAAAGAATCGCTCGAAGAAGAAGAAGACCCATCAATGCTAGAATCGCCACTCGCTTCCTCCTCCTCCTCCTCGTTGGCGTCCATTTCTTTCATTACCAGATGCATTGCCTTGTTCTTGGGCATAACGATGGGCCACTCGCGGTCACTGGAGCCAAGATCAGCGTGCCCCCACTGCCCGCAAGTTCTATAGTGGACGAGGCCACTAGATATGATCGCATCCAAGGAAGTCACGCCAACCTTGCCCACCAAGTCACTGTACGAGACGATGCCATCTCTAGCTTTCCCGAGCTCCTTGACAACGGTCTTCCAGTCCTTCGGGGGATTCGCGATGGCCTCCCTCGCGTCCGCCAGTTCGCTCTCCTTCAACCGGTTCCACGTCTCACGGATCCCCCTGGGTCCTGCCGAGTTGAGCGCGCGCTGGAGCTTGAGAAGCTTGAGCGTCTCGCCGCCATAGTGAGCATAGATGTCGCTCCACATCCTCTTCGTCTCTCCCTTGATCTTCTCGTCCAGCATCCCAAACAGGAACTCCCTGGCGTCCTTCGCCGAGAGAGGGGTGAGGTTGGCCACCTCGAGATGCCTCCCAGACATGGGCTCCTGCCGGCCGAGCCAGCGCTTGAAGAGATCGTCCGAGGAGACGAGCACCACATTCGCCCACCCCTCCAAGCTCATCCTCACGAAACCCCGCAGCACTTCAACCACATCGTTATCGCCGCGCGTATAGTGGCACTCGTTCCACTGCGCGAGCAAGTTGGCCTCGTCCACGAAGATTGTCGGGCGTCCGCCACCTTTCAAGTTCTTCCACTTCTCGCAAAACACCTCCAGTCCCTGCATCACCTGGCCCAGGGAGCACTCGTCACCTTTGGCTTTCCAGCGTTCCAAGCTGGGGATCTCGAGGACCGGGTGCCACGTAAACTCACGCTGTTCCACCGTCGCCCCCCAAGAGGTGAGCTTGAGAGACGATCCCAAGCTCTCCCACATCGTCCTGGCGAAGCGCTCCGCCGAGTTGACCCTGCGATGCATGTCCACGTACAGCGACATGCCCTCGAACTCTCCCAGCTCCTGGCGCTTGCGATACTCTTGAACCAGCGTCGTCTTACCCGACTCTTTGGGACCCAAGAGGAGGAGCAGCGCAGCCGGCTCGCCATCGCGGCAAGGACGTAGCGCGGAGTCCAGCCTCTTGAGCTCCTCCTTGCGATGGTACAGCTCCAGTGGCGGACGCTTGAGCTTTCCCGCCGCCACCTTCGACCAGGAACGATGCGCCAACGCCATGCTCGCAGCTTTTTGGCCTAGGCAACCAATTCAAGCTCGTCTATATATATACACATCATGGAGCCATCGCATTGCTTTCATACACATTGGCCATCAAAACGAAAGATCCGGAAGTTTGCGGCTTGAGCGCCAAAACGGAGTCCGCCGCTGCTCTAGCTCGACCGCTATGGCTTTTCATGCCTCTGAGCAGGCTTCTCCACTCGATAACATCCGGGATGAATGGCATGTTTGCGAGGAGATCTTCGGCATCGTGCACGCGACCGGAGCGGCCCAGCAGATCGATCATGCATCCAAAATGCTGTTTTGCTGGCCTCAGGCCGTAGTCGGCCACCAGAGAGCAAAAGTATGACCAACCCGACTTGAAAACTCCAGCGTGGTTGCAGCCCAAGAGGACGGCGGTGAAGGAGACCTCGTCGGGTTTGATGCCATCGAGGATCATCGCCCCAAACAGCTCCAGAGCGATTCCAGGCTCTACGGTGTGAGCGTACATGGTGAGTACTGCGTTGTAGGAGATGAGGTTGAGCTCCGGAGTAGCATCGAACAGGCGCTTTGCGTCGCTGATGTGCCCGTTTCGGGAGTACGCGGAGAGCATTGCGTTCCATGAGACTTGGTTCTGGACGGGCATCTCGTAGAACAAGAACTTTGCCTGTTTTAGATGCCCATTTTGAGCATAAGCGGCAAGCAGTGCGTTCCACGACACCGAGTTCCACTCGGGCATCCCAGTGAAGATGCTCGCGGCCTCTTCGAGGTACCCGTTTTGGGCATATATCGAAAGCATGGCATTCCACGAGATCTGGTCTCTCTTCGGCATCAACTCAAAGGTGGCTTTCGCCCGATCGAAGGAGCCACCTTGAGAATACGCAGAGAGCATGGCATTCCAAGATACCACGTCCTTGTCCGGCATCTCCTCAAACACTCTCCTAGCATCTTCAAAATGCCCCGTCTCGGCAAAAACCACTAACAAGGCGTTCCAGGACACCAAGTTTCTCAAAGGCATCCTTTCAAAGAGCTCTCTAGATTCTTTGAGATGCCCGTTCCTTACGTAGGCTGATAGCAATGCGTTCCACGAGACGAGATCTTGGTACGGCGACGTACGAAAGAGGCGCACGGCATCCACCACGTTTCCACTCTGGCCGTACGCGTCCAGCATTGTTGTGAGGGACACGAGATCGAGCTCCGGCAAGCGCTCGAACGCGGTGATAGCGTCGTGGATATGCCCGCTCCGGGCATACGCCTCGAGCATCACTGTCCATGCCACCAAGTCCCTCTCGGGCATTCGATCGAACACACTCCTCGCTTCATCGAAAAACTCTCCGTGAGCAAACACGCACAGCAGTGCAGTCCACGAAGCAAGATCCTTGGCGGGCATCGTGTCAAAGACCTCTTGCGCGTCTTCGACAATGCCCTGTTTGGAGTTCGCAATCAGTATTGTGTTTGCGGATATGAGATTCCGCTCTGGCATTGCGTCGTAACATCGTTTAGCTTCTTCGAGCTTATCGTTTGCGGCAAATGCAGCGAGCATGGCATTCCAGGACACGAGATCGCGGCTGGGCATGTCAAGGAACACTTGCCTCGCTTCATCAAGATACCCATTTTGGGCATATGCAGTTAGCATCGAGTTCAACGTTACGAGATTCTTCTCCGGCATCTGGTTGAAAAGATCTTTCGCCTCGTCCAAAGACTTGCTCTGCGTATGTGCCGCAAGCATAATGTTGCACGACATGAGACCCATCTCCGGCATCCTCGCATACACGGCTTTCGCTTCTGAAAGGTGCCCATTCTGGGCATATGCAGTAAGCAAAGTGTTCCAGGAAACCAAATCCTTCCTCGGCATGGCGTCGAACACACCTTGGCAATGCTTGACTCTCCCTCGTCTCGAGTACGCATTGAGAATAACATTCCAAGACAGAAGATCCGGATCAGGCATAACACTAAACAACCCCTTGGCATCCTCCAGATGCCCGTTCTGGGCATATGCCACGAGCATCAAGTTCCAGGAATATGCCCCCTTGGGGTAAATGGCATCAAACACACCCCTGGCCTCCTCCACGCGCCCAATCCTGCCGTACATCTGGACCAGATGGTTGGCCACATAGCCATTGATGTCCAGCTTCTTCTCGCGAATTCGTCCATGCACAGCCTTGGCTTGCGCCAGCGTTTGGCAAGCTTCGATGTGCCGTACGCACTCGCGTACCGTGTCCATGGGCGGGATGGGTGGATGAGCAATCGCAATCGCAAGCGCAGGGGACGAAGAACTGGGGCCATGCCGTGGAGCTGGAGATATGTCGCGATTGGAGCTCCACGTCCATGGGGTCATTCAAGACGCTTGGAGCTTGCGTGTCCAATCTCTCGATCTTTTGGCCGATAACCGCGATTCCACCACTGCCTCATATTGGAGGACAAGCTCTCCCCAGCCGCGCATGGCGAATCTAGACGGTACTGCTGCTACAGTGGCGCTCCTCATCCATGATCCTCCACGGCGAGAGCTGGACGATGATCTCGATCCTGGGAAGAGCAAGACGAGAAGATCAATCGTGGGCTTTCTCCACGGGCACAGAAAGGACATCGCGATCGCGCTGGGGCCTCTGTGCGCGCTGCTCATCCTGGCATTCGTGCGGATCGATGGCGCCCACGAAGAATCATCCAATGTCAGCGCCGGGGAGAGCAAGATCGCGCCCATGCTGGCGATCCTGGCGTGGGTGTGCATCTGGTGGATCACCGAGGCGATTCCAGTCGGGATCACGTCCATGCTCCCGCTGGTCCTCCTGCCGCTCTTCCAGATCATCCAGGCCGACGAGATCGCGCGAGCCTACATGAACGACACCATCACGCTCTTCATCGGCTCCTTCATCCTGGCGCTGGGCGTGGAGCGCTACCAGGCGCACAAGCGCTTGGCGCTCAAGACGCTCCTCCTCTTTGGCGGGCGATCCATGGCGCCGCGAATGCTGCTGCTGGGATTCTGCGTCGGCCCGGCATTCATCAGTATGTGGATCTCCAACAGCGCCACCGCGATCATGATGGTGCCCATGTCCGCGGGAGTGATCAAGCGCTTGCTCGAGCCGGACACTCCCTCGCTCGAATCCATCCATGTCGTGGATGTGGATCCACAGGCGGCGCAGGCGGTGGCATCTGCTGGCGACGATCCGGAGAGCCGGCAGGAGATCCGCGAGCTCCTGCGACGCATCTCCTCCAAGGCGCTCACAACCCTAGATGGAAGAACCCTAGAACAGGGGAGCGGTACCAATGGCGCGGTGGCATTCCACGCGCGGCAGTACGCGCGGGCGATCGTGCTGGGGATTGGATTCTCGGTGAGCATTGGCGGATTGACGACGCTCACGGGCACGGGCACGAATCTGGTGTTCTTGGGGATCTGGAACAGCTGCTTCCCCAGCGCTGCCGCTGTGAGCTACCTCCAGTGGTTCATGTTCGCGTTCCCGCTGGGCGTGGCCATGGTTTTGTTCTGCTGGATCATGCTGTGCGTTTGCTACTGCCCTCGCTCGGCCACTCCCACCATCTCTTCCAGGCTCAATCGCTCCAGCATCGAGGAGGAGCTCAAGTCTCTCGGTACGATTTTTTCTCACTGTTCTATCCAGAAAAAATGGATTTTCTAATCGATTTGTTCTTACTCCAGGATCAATCAGCTTCGCGGAGACCACTGTGCTTACTCTCTTCGTTGTAAGTTTAAAAGAAACCAAAAGAAACATCCTCGAGCTTTGGATTGCTCCAAGCGATTTGATTCTTTTATTTTTTTTTTCTTTCTAGGTGCTCGCTGTGCTATGGTTGACACGATCCCTGGGAACATCCTTTGGCTGGGGGCGATTCTTCCATGGCTATGTGGACGATGGGACTGTCAGTGTAAGTGGCTCCAAATGGAAGAATCTTTCTCTCCAGTGGCAAACATGCCATAGCTTTTCTCTCAATCGTTTTCTTCCAGGTGGTGATGGCAGTGTTCCTCTTTGTCATTCCAAACAGGCTAGTGCCTGGAGAGAGGCTGCTCGATTGGTCTCACTGTAAAAAGCTTCCATGGGACATCGTTCTTCTCTTCGGTGGAGGTACTCTCTTGTTCTTGAATGGATCGAGAAAACCACAAACTTTCCACCAGGATTTGCACTGGCTGCTGGATTCAAAGCGAGCGGACTGTCCGCGTGGGTGACACAACACTTGAACTTCCTAGACGACGCTCCGTACTTGCTACTCGCTCCAGTGGTGGCGGTGTTCGTGAGCGCCACCACCGAGTTTACGTCCAACAACGCCACCGCCACCATCTTCCTCCCGCTGCTCGCCAACGCCGCCACCTCCAACAACATCCACCCGCTGCTGCTCATGATCACGGGCACCATCGCCGCATCCTTTGCGTTCATGCTGCCAGTCTCCACGCCGCCGATGGCCGTGGCGTTCTCGACCGGGCACGTACGAATGCCGGACATGGTTCTCACGGGATTCCTTCTCAAGTTGGTCGGCATACTGCTGCTCTTCGCGCTGATGCCCACGCTCGGTAAGTCACAGTGACGATCCTCGATCACTTCTAACGAGTTTATTCGCGGAACTGTGGCAGGAAGTTACGTGTTCCACCTCAACGCACCATTCGTGAGCGTGCTTGCAACTTAAGCGACACGATTCCCCGGCTGCGTGTCGGTCCTGTGAGATCTAGTGGCGTGTCAAGCAAGAGAATCGAGAAAGCTGCCGCGAAGTGGTGGTGGCGCTCTTTGGCGCTCTTTCTTTGGCCGATCGATGTGGAGTGGAAGCTCACTTTTAGACCGGATTGTCAACAAGTTTAGAAAAAGCGCAAGAGATATTCCAGACAAGGAAAGATAAGATCACGATCATCGTGGTTTGTTTGTTTGATTGAGCGTCGTCTTTGCAAAGTCGTTAATGCCAGGAGACTTTAGCTTTCTCCCCGTGGAAATTATAAAAGAAAGAGTGTCATGGACACGCAGGCTTGCTTCACTCGGGCGGCGCACCATTGGTCCACTGCGGCAAAACACTTAGCCCAAAACAGCGTTTAACGGCCACGATGCGGAGGGATATTCCCACCGAGAGATCCCTGCGAATATGCCATTATCTCTCCACATGTGGTGCCATGTGAGGCTTGAAATGAGGCACTCCAGTGGGCGCTGGAGGCAAGCTTCTCCATGGGCGCGTATTCGATGCTCACGGTCCCCTACAAGCTCCGGATCCTGGGCGGCCTAGAGCGATCGCTGCTACCATCGCTACACTCGGTGATGATGTCTTCGTCCAATTGTGGCGCCAGCTCCAGTCGCGCTGCCAGGGCTCGCAGATTCGTGCTCGCTGCCGCGGGGCGCGAGCAGGGCGGCAATGCCGGCGAGCAATTGGCGCTGCCCAAGTCGGAGATTGTGAAGGAGCCGAGGAGTTCTTTGAGAGGAGTGGCTAGTTCTTCCAGCTCTAGGATCAAGGCGGAGAGGAGTACCTACTTGTTTGCGGCGGTGGCCTCCACGGTGGGAATCACGACGCTGGCAGCTGCGTCAGTGTACTATAGATTCGTGTGGCAAATGCAGGTGTGAAGCTCGCGAACTTTGTCTCTCCTCTTGCTCGGTCTGATGCCTCGAGGTGGCATTTTGCAGGGAAGTGGCGAGGTGCCAGTGCTAGAGATGTTTGGAACTTTCTCCTTGGCGTTTGGAGCAGCGGTGAGTTCCTCTTCTTCTTCTTCTTTCTCTCTCGTCTTGGATGATCTTATGGAAGCTCGATTGGTCAGGTTGGCATGGAGTTCTGGGCTCGATGGGCTCACAAAGCATTGTGGCACGCTTCTCTCTGGGATATGCACGAGGTAAAGATCTGGAACCTTTGCAAGTTTCTTCCAAGTTCTCTCTAAGCTTTGAAAATTCGTGCTCCTATCCAGTCACACCATCGGCCGCGCGAAGGTCCATTCGAGCTCAACGACGTTTTCGCCATCGTGAATGCGGTGCCAGCGATCGCGCTCCTGGCGTATGGTTTCTTCAACAAAGGTCTCTTCCCGGGCTTGTGCTTTGGAGCGGTGAGTTGCCCCTCTCATCTCGTTTACTCCGATCGATCTTGAGCGATGAATGGATGAATCTTTGCGCAGGGCTTGGGGATCACAGTGTTTGGAATGGCTTATATGTTCGTGCATGACGGCTTGGTTCATCGTCGATTCCCGGTTGGACCCATCGCAAACGTTCCTTACTTCCAGAAAGTAGCAGCAGCACACAAAGTAAAAACTCAGTTTTTCTTTCTTTCTTCTGACTGATCGACTCGAGACTTTCTTCTTGTAGCTCCATCACGCCGATTTGTTTCAAGGTGTTCCATACGGGCTTTTCTTGGGCCCAAAGGTATGCAACGAAAAGAGAAAAAGAACGGTTGTATGATTAATTTGGTTCCTGATTTGCAGGAGCTCGAAGAAGTGGGAGGCTCGGAAGAACTGGAGAGAGTGATGAATATACACAAGAAAGCACAGACGTAGAGCTCTCCGCAGCACCGTTATTTTTCTTCTTTTTTATTTCTTGGTTTTGGGCCTACTGGGGAGAGATCTCGTAACCCAATCGTCAGCTGCTGCCGCTTTTGCTGCAAAGCAGAGATTTTTTTTTTTTGGCACTAAAAGTGGAATGTTATCAGTTTTGTCCGTCTGACACTTGCGAGTATGTTCTAGCGCCCAGTAGAGAGAATCTGAACGATAGGCCACAGATCTAGAATCTCTCCAAAGTGGACCACGTATACGTGGTTTGTATCCTATTATACAAGAAATTTGGAGCTCTAGAAGCCTCGCAAGCAAACAAGAGGACAGTATTTCACCATCAAGCCATGAGCAAAGTCGTGAACTCGAAGAACACGAGAACATTACATTACAGGTTATTTATAAAGGTCATGAAGGCCCACACCTGTAATTTGTGTAGGAGTGTCTTCACCTGAGCAGGTTGAGTGTCTTGGTTGATGATGTTTTATGTATTAGCATGTCATTCACTTCACTTCGATTCATTCACTTCTTTAGCGACTCGAGATCTTTTGGAAAGCCAAAAGAACCTTGAGGAATGTGGCCCAGTGTAGCTTTCCACGCAGACCACCAGAAGAGAGTGGCGGCGGACAAACGTGCGCAGAAGCAACTGGTTCCAACACGGGGCCATTGCTCTTCCAGGCAGCTGGGAGGAAAGATCAACCGCCAGTCCACCCAAAGCGTTCACAAAAGCCGTCGAGCTCTTTGTCAGTCACGACGAGCATCTACAGTAGCAAAGGGTTTACGCAAATTGGGAGATCACGGCGAGAGCATTGCTTGTTTGGGCTGGTCGTGTAGAAGGAGTAGTGCTCAAAAAGGTCAATGATAGTCAAATAATGTCAATCATGTCAGACGTCAAATATTGTTCTAACATCAGCTCAGAAAAGTCAAATAAAGTCAATCATGTCAAAAGTCAAATATTGTTGACTACCATTGACTAGCAACTCAATTTCAAACGAATATCTTAAACCCTAACCCCAATGGCGCGGCCAGGGAGGAAGAAAAAAGCGAGCTGCCAGCAGCGCCATCCAGAGCTGGACGAGCGTCGGGTATGGCGGCCGGGGGTTGATCCACTCGACGAAGGCGAGGAACTCCAGTACGAGCCATCCGCCTATGACACCATCCATGCGTTCCGATTGGGCTGGCCGTGTCTGAGGTAAGTGTAGGGGGCATTGTCTTTCAAGTTCCCGTCTGATCGAGTGTGGAAAGCTTTGATATTCTGCGAGACGAACTGGGGGCGCTGCGACACGAGTTTCCTCTCACCTTGTTCTGTACTGCTGGAACGCAGGTGAGTCTCCATTCTCAACAAGCCTTGGAATCTCAAACGTTTAAACACTTTTCCTCGCGGTTTCTAGGCTGCAAATCCTGCAGATAATCGGCTCATCGTTGCTAAGCTGACCAACATCAGCGGGAAGAAAAGAGGCGTGGAGTTGGCTGCTAGTGACGATGGCGACTCTAGCAGCAGCAGCAGCGACGAGAGTGACGACGAAGAAATGCGAGACAAAACTCCCAAGCTTGAGGTTGGCAGCACTTAAGCTACATCTTTTTTCTAAGACGTTTGTTTTCTCGATCGACCAGGTCCGGATGATAGCTCACCATGGATGCATCAATCGTATTCGTGCCATGCCACAAGAACCAAACATCATCGCAACATGGTCGGAGACCGGCGTCGTCCAGGTCTGAAAGTCAAGTCTGCCATGGTTTTACGGTGCTCTCAGGTAGCTGGTCCAGATTTGGGACGTCAAAAGCCTCTTGCAAGAACTCTCTTCCGTCAACGCCGGAAGCTCTTCTCGCGTTACACACCAGGCACCCCTCCAAGTCTTTTCTGGTCACGAGGTGGAAGGATTTGCTCTCGACTGGAGTCTAGCGCACCAAGGATGGCTTGCATCTGGTCTGATTGATTACATGAACTCGAGAGAGAGATTTCATGTCTTGCTCAAAAAGCGTTCTTGTTTGTCTCCAGGCGATAACAACGGAGTGATCCATGTCTGGCAACCAAATCGACGCGAATGGATCGTTGGAGGTCGAACTCTTGTTGGACATTCGTCCAGCGTCGAAGATTTGCAGGCAAGCTTTCACCTTCATTTCGTGTCTAAATGTTTATGTCTGTCTATCAGTGGTGTCCGACGTTGGATCCCTTTCGGCTTGCATCTTGCTCTTCTGATGGAACACTCAGGCTGTGGGATGTGCCAACTTGTACTTGCACAGCGATGTGGAAGATCCACGACGCGGACGTTAACGTGATATCTTGGAGGTTTGTACTTCCTAATAAGTCACAACTGTTCCAACATTTCCTTGTCTTGGCAGATCAGATTCGGTGCTTGCCTCTGGCGGTGACGACGGTATCATCTACTTATGGAATTTGAAGCATTTGAAGGTATGCTTCTGTGCTTCAATAGTATTCCTGATATCTAAGTTTTTGTAGGACGGTCCCATATCGATGACAAACTACCATTCCGCCCCAATAACTTCCATCGAATGGTCTCCTCATGACAGTTCAATGCTGGCGGCAACCTCGGCTGACAACCAGTTAAGGTATGTCGCCGCGTCTCTCTTTTTTTCAGTTTAGCTCATATTCTATCCTTGTTATGAGCAGTGTGTGGGATTTTTCTGTGGAAGCCGATCCAGAAGAAGAAGCACAAGTGAAGCAATCAGTGGCTGCTCCGAAAGGCTTGCCAGAAAGCTTGTTGTTCGTTCACCAGGTAGTGTTTTTTATTCTGATGTAGCTGAAGTGAATCTCTTTCCTGTGCCAGGGCCAAAGGGACTTGAAGGAACTTCACTGGCATCCCCAGCTCCTAGGAACGATTGTCTCGACATCCTTCAGCGATTTCAACGTTTTCAAGCCTTCCAATCTTTAGTTTATTATCTCGATGCTCTGGTTTATAAAGAATCCAACGCTCAAAGTCCTGCGAGAATATTAGAGATCCTCAATATGCGATTGTAATGGGTTCCCAGAGGGTTCTTCGTGGATGAGGTGATGCGCAGCTAGTGCAGTCAGACCGATCGATCGTTCTTCACCAGCTTCGCTTGGAATGATCTTATGGAAGCTCGATTGGTTGACATGGAATTTGGGCTCGATGGGCTCACAAAGCATTGTGGCACGCTTCTCTCTGGGATATACTTGCGTGTGTGTAGCTAGTTCCCTTGTGTGTGAGAGAGAGAGTGTGTGTGTGTCAAAACGCGCGAAACATTATTTTGTATTGTTCCACACTTTTTTACAAGCAAATTTGATTTCCATTTGAAAAAAAAAACCAACAGACTCAAAATCTGCTTTCGAATAGTGTGAGATTCCATGGCTTCTTGCGAGAATGCCGACTCCAGCAGTACAGAACAAGGTGAGGAAATTCGTGGCGCAGTGCCCCCCGAACATTAAACTTTTCCGCACTCGCCTGAAAGCGCAATGGCAAGAAGCGCCAAGCATCTCCAAACCTGGACGAGTGTCGGGTATTGGGGGCCAGGGGTTGGTCCACTCAAACGGAGCCATCCGCCCATGACACCATCGATTGGGCTGGCCGTGTGTCTAGGGTGGTTCGAGATTAGAGTTGACGAGACAGTCTATGGTGGTCAATAAAAGTCAACAGAACTTATTGGATTGATTGACAATGTCGGACTTTTCTAGTGGAGTAACGAAAAGCTTAGCTCGTTAAGGCTTTGGGTGGACTGGTGTGTAAAACCCAGGAGTTTTTAATTTTTCCCAGCTGCCTGGAAGAGCAATGGCTGTCTTTTGTGCTTGCAAAAACTGATGGCCTTTGCACACTTTTGTCTGCCACCACTCTCTCTCCATACCCAACTTATCCTGTACCTCTATTATACATCCCCCCTCTAATCTTTACAATAATTTACTTAATATGGAATGGTGTTAAATTATAAGTTTGGCAATACCATTGTGTTGATAATTTTTAAATTTTATAGATATAATAGATTTAAACACTTTCCACAAATAGCCAATGAGGCTATTAATGTTTTAATATTGACATTATAACAAATATTATGTGTAAACTATCTTTGTTATGTTTCATCCAATTTTTTGGAGTAAAATATAACAAGACAACTGCATCACCTTAGAATAATATTAATTGCATTGTCACAATCTTGTTACAATACAGCACCTATAAATAGCTAAAGACATCCCAACGCACTTCAAAGGGTTTATTAAGATTTGGGAGAGGTGCCTGTCAATACAAGGCCCCACCCCTAATCTTGGGAATATAAATTATAATCAAGATCTCTTTTAATTGTACAAAAGCATTTAACAAACTATTAATATATTTCTTCCTTTTATTGTTCTCTTTCTTTAATTTAGAAACTTCCTTTTATGAACTCTTAATCTCAATATCTTAAGCTACATAGAAACTAAAACAATTCTCTAATACCAAATGTAACATAACTGAATTGAGAGTTAAACTCCAAGTCTATTGTACTACAAAATAAGGGTTTAGTACAATCCCCTATGAGCATCAACTCCCTATATTTAGCTCTTATATGCGAAATGGTGTCAAACAATATTTAATACAATTTAATTATATAAAAGCATACTTTGGGCTTTCACCCCATTCCCAAGAGTTAAATCTCTAGGATAAGTTTGAAAAATTAGTAAATATGGAATGGCATTAGACCATAAATTAAGATATAGGAATAACATTATGGTGTTTAAGACACTTTTTATATTTCATAAATATACATCTAAACACTTACCATATAAAATACATGGGATTGAAATGGAATCAATACATAAGGTATATTAGCAAAAGTGGTATACATAATAAGCTATTATGTAATACCAAGCTCCATATCAATACTACCAAATGTTATAACTGAACCAAGTATGTTTAACTAATAGCATTTAGAAATTCTGTCTTTATGCTTATTTGGTAAGTGCAAACTAAATTAGTTTAGGTGGAGGAATAAAGAGAATCAACAATACAATAAAGAAACAGTGTTCATAAAGGTTAGTTGATAAATATCTTTTGATACTTGAAGTCACCATTATGATAGATGAGATCTCTAGATTCATCCCTATGCCACTGTTGCCTTGACAATTTAGCACAACTGAAATTCAATTTTTGAGATCACCCATATTTGTAGCCATTCCCATAAAGATTGAAAAATGGTTTTGCTACCTATTATTATAAAAACAAGCTTAAGAAAGTGAATATTGGATAAATTAGTGTCAAGTGAACCACTTGATAATACTCTTAAAAATAAAATGGAATGCTTATTGACTTATTCATGCACTATTTATGCAACTCCTCATTTCCTTAAAAAATCATAATGTCAAGACATTTCACCATAGCAGCATCAATATTACATTATTGAAGCCAACAGCTCCATCCAATTTAGGAAATATTGACAATGTCATCCAACTTCATTACACACCTAGTAGTGAATATCATAGCTTCTCATCTTTATCCTTGAATACAAACAATAACAATATTAACTTAAGATTATATAAGTAATGTTGAAGTACATACAATTATAAGTGGGACAAGCATTATACAATTGCAACACTATCATTTGAAGACATATGGGAAACTTATTTAGATATTGGGCATCTTCCCAAGAATGAGAGGTGATAATTATTATAAAGTAATTGAATCAATAATACATATTATTCTTAAGATTCATATGGAAGAAACACAGTCAAATGCACATCAAGAGCAAGAAGTGTTACATTGCTATCAATTGAGTTTGATTATTACCTACAACTAAATAATATTAAGCAACTACACCAATTATTACTCTAGAGTCAAAGGAGGAGGAGGAAGGTGTTGAGGAGTATAATACTCTAACATGGAGATGAGATGAAAAAAATAAATAAAAAGAAAAGCAATAAAAAAGAAATGGAAAAGCTATAAAAACAAGAAAGATTTAGACAATGTAAAAGTTAGATTTAAATTAAGAAAACATAAAATTTAACACTCATCAGGGATAATTAAAGTTGCACAAGTGAATGGAATACAAAACTATATATATTCAATTAGCCCAAAAATCCTAATTTGATGATCTAAATTGAAAAATAATCCAATAATCCCACTATGTTAATAATAATATATGGCATCATAACTATACACCTAAACCCACCACCAACTAGCAACAAACCAGCTTCTCCACCAAGCAAGGTTGGCTGAGAATAATAATAATAACAACTATTTCAAGTCATGAGGACCCACAAAGGGCATTAGACCATCCTATCCACTATTGGTGTGGAGTTGGGGATGTGCAGGTTCAAGGATGGTAAACAGCTCATCATGCAGGTTTGTGGTGGTAGTGAGGTACTCACAAAGTTGGTGGTGTTGCTGTTGTTGGAGGAAGAAAATAATCATCATCGTAGTCAGAGAAATAGTCATCATAGTCATCATATTTATATTCAATCCATTTAAATTCTGCAAGGTGAGGGCACTTCTTTGTTAGCTGTTCTCTTGTTGTTTTGTTGTGCATATTAAACAGTAGACACTCTCTCAAGTTGTTGAATAAGCCATTATCCCATATCAGCTGGCAGCTCCATAATTCTAGCTTGGCTAGATTAGGAAGAGCACCTAGTGATAAAGTTAGAGCCAAAGAACCATCTTTCGTAAAATCTTCCAAACTCTGACTAGACAGAATAATAGGATGGTTCCCCGTTGTAGGCACTGACTGACTCCCGTTGCAATTAGAGAGCTTGAGCTTCCTAAGATTTGGGCAAGCCTTCAATATGCCAATCAATACATCATTTATGCCTTCCTGTGAATGGTAAACCTTGTCAGAGTAAGCAAGAACAAGCGTGTGGAGGCTGCTGAAGATTGTGTTTGCTGGGGGCTCATCTATAGTTAAGGAATCGTGTAACTCCAAGCATGTCAGCCTTGGGAAGTTTGATATGAGGCAAGAGCCTGTATGTAAACTAACTTGAGTCAATGACAACCTCTTCAAGGTGGAAGCATAGGGAACTAGGAGCTTTTGCAGTAGCTCTTCTTTGCATACCTCATACTCAAGGATCATTTTCACCTCCTCAAGTCCAGATCGACCTGCCAAAGCGTTCATAAGAAACGTTTCGTAATTATCGTCCATATACTGCTCTGGTATGTCTATCTTAACCTTGGGCACTTGTTTGGAAAGACGATTCCATGTTTTTGACACAAGTGAAATTCTTGATAAATCTTCTATCCAGTGGAACTTGCTCAGCACCGTCAGCCAGACATCATCTGGAAGAGAGTCCCCGGAACTGAATAATTTCTTTGTCATCCTCCCAACCCTTATCGCCAATCCAGCAATATATATAGAAAAAGGACACCGCCACCTCACTGCCAGCGTGGTGTGATCTGTGCCACGTCACCATGGTCATTTTGATTTCTCCCGCTCTGGGGCTAGGGTTGGTTCGTAGCTAGCATCGCCCCCAGCGCACTGGCTTCTCAGCGCCCTAAGGGTTTGGCGGCGCCGTGATGCTGCTGGTGATTCCCGGGCGATCTCACCTTGCCGCCGAGAAGATCCTCGCCATAGGAGGGTTCTTCGTGGATGAGGTGATGCGAGCAGCTAGTCAGGATCTCCTAGCAGGAGTGTTTGCTGTCAGAAGGGAGTTGGACCGATCGATCGTTCAAGATCAGGCGCGTAAACTTCACCATGAAGGATGAGTCTTCAGAGGGTGGACAAGATGCCGCGAGTGTGGGATGCCCAAACACACCGGCATCCAACAGGCGGATCTAGTGGGAAGAACATACCACTGGATGGCTGGCAACGGATAACCCACATTCTTGGGGATTTGCGAAGTTCAGGCTCTTCAGCTGGGCCAAGCTTAGCTTGTCATCCTAAGTCGTCCCGATTTTGGCAAGCCGATGCTAACACAAGGCCAAGGGCGTCGAAGTCTAGGTGGCCAAGGCACAGGAGGTCGGAGTTGGACACCCGGAGAACTCAAGGTGGAGCACAAAAGGTTTGCATTGGGAGTTTACAGCGATGCTATACTGTTCCGTGTTGCGCTCAGTGAAAATGCGCAGCTGGCCTATTGCTAACCTCTCCCAACCATGGCTGCTTTGCAGAAGGACTTGCTGGATGAAGTTTACGCAGATTTCGTGGATAAAATCGAAGATTGAGAACAAGTCACTCCTCGCCCGCTATCTGCGATATTCGACTCTGAAAGAATACGCACATTGGGAATATAATCATCGCTGATGCAACGAAGAATGAAGAAATCTTCTATGCTTCCTTTGAAAGCACAGACTCGTAAGGTGTAAGGCATGGACGACGCTCTAGAGAGTTTTGTATCTAACACCGTGTCTCTTCTTCCTAACTGAAGCTCGGGGCAGAAACAAGATTGCTTAGGGACTGGAACATCTCGGGAGAGCCAACTCGGTCTTTTTGATACATCAGAGGCAGAAATGCGTCAACTTGAAAGAGTGAAGCGGAAGCGGGGGTGTTATTGCCGTGGTGATGGATAATGCTTCCAACATGCGGCTAGCCGGACAGATGCTTGAGACGCTGGGAATTTGGAGTGTTCCCTGTCAGTGCCAGGCACTGAACCTCGTACTCGGATTGTCAGGCGCTCTGGACTTCATCAAGGATTGCATTGGAAAAGGGATGGCATTGTTCATGTAAGCGAAGATCCAACACATCTCCTCCACTTGTTCAGGCGGCAGGGAGCATATCAACGAAGTTTGTATTCAAGGTTCACTTTCTAGTTTCAGCTTTGTAACGCTAACTTTGTTTTCTTGTTGATGATTTTAACTTCAGGCTTGGCTCGTAATACTACATGCTGGAACGGCTGCGAGAAGTTCGCGACTCTTTGAGAGTAATCTTCCTTAGTGGGGACTTTAAAAGCGTGGCTCAAGCAGCAGCCAAGGGCAGTGATGCTCAGCAAGTTCAGGACCTCTTTCATAAGAACAAGCAGGTTGCGGTTCAGTTTTGGCAGCAGGTGGACAAGATTCTTTTGTTGATGGAGCCAGTGGTACGAGCCATCAAGTTTTTTGACAGATGCACACCAACTATGGGATTGGTCTGGCAAGCTTGGAAATACATAGCCGACAAAACATTCCAACACCTTCTTTGCCAGCAGCGGAGAAGGAACTTGTGATGGCTGTGCTTGGACATCGGGTTACCTCAAAGGTTGTGATCTGTTTGGTGCGGTTTGGTGTCTGAACCCACGTTACAGATATTTAATAAGACATCGACTAGAGGCCAGCAGTCAAGCGGTTTTATCCAGACAACGAAGACTTCATGCGGTTTGCTCGCGAATGCAAACCGGACCTTTTGATCCTACAAGCTCCGGACTGGCTGCGCGTTTGTTCGAAGATCCAGCAGCAGTAGCCGATCCCTGGAAGGCGTGGGCAAGCTGCCAAGAAATGGATTTGCACGTACCTTTTCTTTGGAGGTTTGCATGCAACGTCTTGGCCTTGCTTCTTCTAATTGTGCTGCAGAGCGTAACATCAAGGCATATGGAAACGTTTTGACTCTCAAACGAAACAAGTGAGTTGATTGAATTGAATTGAAATTTCCTGCTGGATACTAACAAAACGTGCTACGTTGAATCCAGGGCGCATCCAAAAGCTCGTGAATATCTACCAGAACTCTCGTCTGTGGAGGAAACGGCAGCAGTCCATTGACAAATCCGTGGCTAAGCAGACTGGTGCCGAATTTGATGATGAAACAACAGGGCCAAGGGCTTATGCTGAGGTTGACGCTGATGATTCCTTATATGAGAGCGTAGACGAGCACGACACCGTTGATAAAAGGGCTAGTAAGTTAAAGTTGCATAGTTTTTTCTTAGAACTAAGTAAGGACGGTGTTTTTCCGCGGCGACGATGACGAAGTACAGTTGGGGACATTATTAAGGGAACCGGATGGTTCTAGAGACACAAGCAGTAGCCTGCAACGAGGAGCTTGGCCTTCTCCTGAAATGGAGAAACAGAAGTGCCAGAAGAGGCGCAGGATGATTGATGGAGGAGCTGCTGAAGTAGCAGGAGAATAGAAATCTTTCGAGCTGGAGCCAACTCCAGGTCCCTTAGCTCCAGCTCGGACTCAGTCGGCTCAAGCTCGTGCTTCTCCGGCAGCTCACGCAGCTGCACAAGCTTCTTCGGCTCAAGCAGGAGAAGAAACAAACCACAGAAAAGTCGCAGATTTATATGTACGTTCAAGGCCGCTGCGACAGTGTCGAAGACCGAACAAGTGTAAGTTCTTTTGATCTCCTTTTTTGGCTCTGAACTGTTTGGTGCTATCCAAAGCAAAGTATGGAGGCCTGGCTCGACTTTGACAAACGAGTTCCTTGCGCTGTTTAAAGCCGACCACCATGACATCGTCGACTCTGAGTGGCGCAGACAATGAGAAAACGCTGCTTCTCGAATATTCCAGTGGTGATAAGAAAAAGCCCGATTGAGCAGCGGCGAGGTCGAGCGCCATGGGGAGCCTGGAGGAGCATCAGCCCGCTTTTCCACCGTCCGACATTGTCTTCCAACATCTCATCGTCCACAAGGCGGCGCAGCTCAAGGTGGGTGGCGCTGTTGGTTTCTCGCGGTCTGGCTGATTCGTTCCATCAATGCAGGAAAAGCCCGATGGCACCGTGCTCAAGTTTGGAGCTCACACCACAGATCATATGCTCCAGATCGTGTGGAAGGAGGAGCTGGGCTGGATGCCTCCCAAGATCGTCCCGCTTGAGCCACTCTCGCTCCACCCTTGCGCTCAGGTTTGTGATATTCTTTCTTTCCATGACTTTTCCGTATTGGAATCACACTGCTCGTTGCATGAATCCAGGTTCTACACTACGCCACCGAGTGCTTCGAGGGCATGAAAGCTTACAAAGACAAAGAGGGACGCATTCGCCTCTTCCGCCCCGACATGCATATGAATCGCCTCGCCAGATCAGTCGCTCGCCTCGCTCTTCCCAGCTTCGACAAGGTAACAACTCCATGGATTCTTTCCTTTCGTGGAAGTTCTTTTCATGACACCAAACTTTGTAGGAGGCTTTACTGAGATGCATCGAGGAGCTCCTTCGCGTGGAGCGGGACTGGATTTCCGACGTCGAAGGATTCTCCGTTTACATCCGTCCCACGGTGATCGCCACCCAGCCATCGCTGGGAGTCCAGCAGTCACGGGAGGCATTGCTCTTCGTGGTTTTGTCTCCGGCTGGATCATCCTTCTTCTCCGCCTCGTCGACGTCGCGGCTGGCCCCGATCAAGCTCCGGGTCGACACGCAAAACACGAGAGCGTTCCCGGGAGGAGCTGGGGACCGGAAGCTGGGGTCAAACTACGCCCCAACCATTGTCCCGCTGCTCGAGGCAGCAAAGCTGGGATGCTCGCAGCCGCTGTTTGTCATGGACGACAAGTATGGAGGATTCGTGGGAGAAGCTGGAACCATGAATATCTTCTTCCTGCTTCGCTCTGGACAGGACACAATGGAGCTTGTGACACCGGCTTTGGACGGCACCATTCTTCCTGGCGTGACGAGAGACAGCGTGCTCAAGCTCGCGACCAAGATACAAGGACTGGAAGTCTCCGAAAGATCTCTTCGATTCTCCGAGGTGAAAAGTTGGTCTCCTTGATCTTCGATTGACACTGGCTTTCAGATCGAGGCGGCCGCTGGACAAGGCAGGCTGGTGGAAGCATTTGGAACAGGAACAGCGTGCTTGATCCAGCCAGTGTCCGGGCTTCTCAAGGAAAGCGGAGTGATGATCGAAGTCCCGTTTGATTCCAAGGCCGCAAACGATGCGATAGCGGCGGCTCCGGGAAGTTTGGAGCTGGAGAAGGAGCACGTCGATCGCCCAGGCTTCAACCTCTGTGGTTTCCTCGTGCGAGCACTGATGGATATCCACTATGGTCACACGCACAGCGAATGGTCTCGCGTGATCATCGGCTAAAGTTCTCACCTCTATCAAAGTTTTGCTCGAAAGACTTTCAAAGCTCTAGTATATCCAAGAATATACTTGGATATTCATTAATCTAACGGCTCTAAAGAGGAAAAGATTTAGGGTTCTTCCCCGAAATATGGCTGGCTTGATCGATGTTCTTGTGGATCTCAACAACACGCTCGTCTCCACTGGCGGCGACATCAAGTTCCCATGCCTGGTCGGCTCCTTCTGCTTCGCTCACGGCGCGCTCGAGTTTCTGGCAGCTCTCGACAGGATTCCTGGCGTGAGGATCGGCTTCTACAGCTGTGGAAAGGCGCTGCGCAACGCCAATCTCTTGCAAGCGCTCTCCGCCGGCCTCGAGGATCGTCTGGGCTACAAGATTTCGCAGGAAATCGAGGTATTCAGCGTCAGGCCAGGGAAGAAAAAATCGCTCCATGGCCTGAGGGAAGGACTGGATCTGGAGAGGGCCATTTTGATCGACGACACTGGCAGGAACTCGGCCATGGGAGAGGAGAGGAACCTGGTGAAGATCTATCACAAGAGGCGGCTGTATGACGAGGAGGGAAAGCTTTGCAAAGGTGGCAACGTTTTCAAGGCCAGGATCGCCAACAATCTCGTCCGCGCGCTCGGTCTCCTCCTCAAGTCGATCGAATCCTCCTCGAGCTCCAAGACCTTGGTGCAAGCGCTAGAGTCACTTCAGTGGAATGGAGACGAGTATCTCCACGAGTCGAGCAACTCGGAGGAGATTTACCGGCTTGGTCTGGAAGCGATGCGAGGCGTGAGGCCGGAGTTTAGCATCAAAGAGGTGGTGAGCTCGGTTGATCCTTGGTCGCCCCATGAGAGGAACGAGGAGCTCTTCCCAAGTTCGCGCAGCCATCTCCTCTCATAGAGAAGGTACTTAAAGTTTAACCCTTCCAATACTATTTTTTTCTTGTTTTGTCGCTTGGTGACTGATTGAGGCGCAGCTATGGCGGCAGCCGCGATTGGAATGCCGGCGATCAAAGCACCCAAGATGGTTTCTTTTGCGGGAGCTGAGCATCACAGGGCTGGATTGTCAACCCAATTGCGATCCACTGCTATGATCTCGAGAAGGGCGAAGGTATGCGACGACGATGTCATACTTTTTCGTTAAACGATGCATAGGATTTTGCTTTTCGATTTGGCTGCTGGATTGCTGGCTGGCTAGTAGAGCGTGAGGAGCAGCTTCATTCTTTGTGGCTCAGTCTTTAAGCATGCTACCAATCTTTTTGACTGCCTGAAGTTATGGTTCATGTGTACATTAAAGATTCTCGCTACTGATCATGGCATTCGCTGCTCAAGCACCGATATCGACGTCTCAGCTCCTCCGAAGGATCAAGGTGAAAAAGCGCCTGTTCGTTGCCTGGAAACCTTCTAAAGTTTTGTTACGACTTTTGCAGATCAAACCCTCACAGAACAACCGGTTGCCTCTTCCTCTGGAGCTGAACTATTCAAAGATCAAAAAGAAGGAGAGAGTTCCGTGTCTGCAGCTACGACGAGCTTGTCAATCATCGTTTTAGGTGCCACGGGTGATCTCGCCAAGAACAAAATCTTTCCAGCCTTGTTTGCACTTTACTACACCGGTTATCTTCCAGAGGTAGTGTTTATCTTCTTTCCCAAGCTTTTAAAATTTTTTGATGTGCAGAAAATCGCGATCTTTGGCTACTCCAGAAGTGAGCTCCAAGATGAAGACCTCCGGAGGCTCATCATGGGGAACTTAACGTGCAGGCTGGATCACAGGTTCTAATACTCGTTTGGCATATTTGGATCTCAAAGAGAACTTGGCATGCAGAGAAGGATGTGAAGAAAAGATGGAGAGCTTCCTAAAAAATGTATACTATGAGCACGGCGGATACGATACATGCGATGGTATGGTAATTCTGGACAAGCGCTTGAAGAAACTAGAGGTATGATTTCTAGCTTTTGCTTTGGCATAGTAGAGAAAAGAAACTGACAAGTTTTGTAGGGAAGTTGTTGCGCAAATCGGATTTTCTACCTGTCGGTTCCTCACGAGGTAGTCGTTGAAGTTGCGCAGTGTGTTGGCACCAATGCTCAAAGCAAGAGAGGCCACACGAGGATCATAATCGAGAAGCCATTTGGCAACGACGTGCACACCTCGAAGAAGATGACCGAGGGATTGCTTTCAAAGTTCACCGAAGACCAGATATACAGGTACGATACCGATTGTTTCAATCAAAGAGAGTAAACAAAACATGCTTTGTTGCTCTTTTTACAGAATCGATCATCTACTTGGCAGAGATCTCATTGAAAACTTGACAGTCTTGCGGTTTTCAAATCTAATCTTCGAGCCTCTGTGGAACCGCACATACATACGAAACATTCAAGTAAGCCCGAGTGCTATTTCCAAGACTCGACTGCGTGTGCCTTTCATTTAGATATTGTTTGCCGAGGACTGGGGAGTGGAAGGCAGAGGAAGGTAACCAGTTTTCTTTTGTCAAGCTTTAATTTGAGCTTTATTTTGCCGGTTCCAGGTATTTTGACGAGCAGGGAATAATACGTGACATTGTCCAGAGCCATTTGTTCCAGACGATTGGTCTCCTTGCAATGGAGCCCCCGGTTAGCCTGGAAGGAGAAGATATTCGCAACGAAAAGGCAAGCAGGTCTTTCATGAATTGAATGGATCATGAATCGAGTTGATTGATCAGGTGAAAGTGCTGCGGTCAATGCGCAAGCCAGCTCTGGACGACGTTGTTCTTGGTCAGTACAAGGAAAGCGTGTCAAAGGGTGGCAGCTCCAGAGTTCCGGGATACTTGAGCGAGCAAGACGTTCCAGCCGACAGCCTCACTCCCACATTTATAGCGTCAGTTTTGTACATCGACAACGGGCGCTGGGATGGTGTTCCGTTCCTCATCAAAGCCGGTCACGGCCTCATCAAGCACAAGTGAGCTGAGAGTTTTACTCCACACTCCACTTGTTTTTCTGACTTTACTTCCACAGGCAAGAGATTCGTATTCAATTCCGAGGCGTCCCTGGGAACTTGTACCGCGATAAGTTTGGTTTCAACATCGACCTGGCCACCAACGAGCTGGTGCTCAGAGTTCATCCGGACGAGGCCATCAATCTCAAGATCAACAACAAAGTTCCAGGCCTGGGATTGCAGCTGGACTCCTCGGAGCTCAATCTTCTCTACAGGGACAAGTAAGCTCACTCGTTTCTTCAAATGTTAACTAGAACGGAGGAAGCTAAGTTTTTGCTCACAACACCAGATACAACACGGAGATCCCAGACTCGTACGAGCGATTGATCTTGGACGTGATCGACGGCGACAGCCACTTGTTCATACGGAGCGACGAGCTCGCACAGACCTGGGAGATCATCTCGCCGCTGCTGGAAGAGATCAAAACACACAAAGTGGCCCCCGAGCTCTACACGTTTGGCGGAAGAGGCCCAGTCGGTGCTTACTACTTGGGCGCTAAGCACGGGGTTAAATGGGCAGACGATTAAGCTAAACTGTGGGACGGAATGTTCCACTGTAAAGGAGCATATTCCGGCAAATAAAAACTTGGGATCGCATTTGTACTCGAAGTTTTTTTTGGTCGTCCGTGATCGAGAGGAGAGAGACGAAGGATGCACGACTTTTGCTTCACGTACCCGTATGGGATCGTGCTCTTGTGTGGCGGACTTGTGGGTTTTCTCCGGCGGGGGAGCTTGGCATCGCTCTATGGCGGCGTTGGAGCTGGGATCTTGCTCCTTGTCGCCGGTAAGATCAGCCTCTCGGCTTACCACAAGGGTAGCAATTCGCTGGTCTCGCAAATCCTCCAGACAGGTGACAGATCGATAGCTCGCGAGCTCGTTTGGTTTCACTCACGATTTGGATTTGCAGTGATCGCGTTGTCCGTGTCGTGGGTGATGGGGGAGAGATTTCTCGACACTGGTAAAGTGATGCCTGCTGGAATGGTCGCCGCGATCAGGTAAAAATCAAATTTTTAGAGGTGGAGCTCACGAGAGAAGTTTTTGTTTTCCCAGTGCTATCATGAGCTTGTTCTACGCGTACAAGCTTGCTAGTGGAGGCAACCACATCCCAAAGAAGCAAAACACAAGCTGAGAGAATTCATGGTCTCAGAATTATTTCCAATACCACAGCACATTGTTATTTACCAAGTCAGTGAAAAAAAAATATGATTTTTTTAGCAGCTTACGCCCAGCTCCAGCTTCAGCGTGTAGTTAGTCTCTTCCGCGGTTGGACCAGAGAATTGGATCGGACCTGTTCGTCGATGTTTAGCTTGATTCCTGGCAGCGATTCAAAGAAAGTTACCTGGACTTCGATAATCATCTTCCACAGCCCATTTATCTCGCACGGAGGCAAATTTCTTGAAAGGTGCACCTGCGAGGAGGAGTAGCAGCAACGATTGTCAATGCAACAAGTCAACTGTTTGTACTCACCATCAAGTTCCACCATGGCTTTCTTTATCACGGGCTTGTTCTTGCCTGCACGAGGGAAACATGTGAGACGCAGCGGACTTGAAGTATCAGTTTTACCTCTCCGTCTCTCAACATCCATCAATGATGTCAATGCCGTCCCTCCCACGGTCCAGTCTTTTGAAGAGGTTGACAAATTCCCCACCTGGAAACTAGAGCATTAGTAACACACTATAGCTGGATGGTACTTCACTACAGACCGAGGCAATCAATCCTGTCTGTCCAGCATGAAGGAGCGCTCCTGCGGCATAGCCCAACGCATAGCAGTAAGTTGAATCAAAATTTGTCGGTAGACCACACCGGCCTTCATATCTATACAGCCTGTTAGCATAGTAGCAACAACTGTGCTGGGAAAAAACATTACCCGAGGAAGTGAGACTGCCCCTTGAAGTTTCCAGTGTATGATCCTTCTTGTTTCCTCCGCAATAACTCAGTTTCCACCATGGAGATCAACATTTTCTCGGTTTCGATTTTGGCAACCTGGAATAAATCTTTTGCTAAGAATCACAAGCGAAACGATGGTAACAATTTGAATATACAAACCTGAACGTTTCCATGGGGATCACGCTCCAAGAGCAGTTCCTCTTGGATGCTATGTGGCAATGAGTCGAACAGAGCATGGCACTGGGGAGACAATTTGTGCCTCCAATGTCCCTCTTCATCCACTGTACCGCTGGCCAAAATCTCGTTCAACTCCGAGATCAAGTGCTGAATCTGTTGCACGAGTCTCAGTCAGCACGACAACAAGGAAATAAAATATACCTCTGGAATAAAATCAATCAGCCCCTCGGGGATAAGTATCACGCCATAGTGCTGACCATTCTCAGCCCTCTTACATATTGTATCAGTGATAGAGTTCGTCACTTGCCGCAAAGTCTGCTTCTTCACGGATACCTGAAAAAGGCAAAGGATAAGACATCCGTATGTGTTGAAAGTAGACGCACCTCTTCACCGATAAGAGCGACATTTGGGTGCGTCTGCAGAGCACACTCTAAAGTTATGTGTGAGGCTGCACGTCCCATAAGGCGGACAACTGCTCGAGAGAAAGTCCTCGTCACGGACTTTAAAAGAAGCTAAAGGCAACAAACTTCTTACAGTGGTAATATTTTCCCGTAGAACGTGCGTCTACCATGATGTTCCCAATCATTTCTGCATATATCTACCGCAGAGGCTGAGAGGAGCAGCAGAAAGATTGAGGGATACCTTGCAGGCTGTGTCGAATCCGAAACTAATCGGCACTTCCTTGCTCTTAAGATCACCATCAATAGTCTTTGGGCATCCGATAACATGAGTTTTCAGGTTCCTTGCTCTGGATGACAGAAAGCGATCGAACATCAAAAACACTTTTTTTTCTAGATAAAAGAGAATACTATAACCTGAAATACTCCGCAAGAAGGCAGGCATTCGTGTTGGAGTCGTCCCCACCAATAACTACAATGCCGTCCAAGTCGAGCTTCACAGCCGTGTCTTCCGCTTGCTTGAACTGCAAAAGGCAAAAATACATTGATTGAGCTGAGAGCCATTACTGCTATTGGAAAAACGCAAGAAACCTGCTCAGGTGTCTCAATCTTGTCTCGACCGCTGCAGATGATATCGAAGCCTCCCTGACACCTCGACCACGGATGTAAGAGCCCAGAAAGAAAAGATTTCCCATCCAAAACATACCTGGTTCCGATACGGATACAAAAACTCCGAGGTGATCTCGACGTACTTGCACCTCATGATCCCAGCAGGTCCTCCACGAAAGCCAAGCAACAAGCTTCCCGGTGCATGCTTTTGCAGGTAATCTACACAAGGAAAAAAAAAAAAGACTTGTCATGGAACTAACTTGTCACAGCTCCAAGTTCTTACCGAAAAGTCCAGCAATCACATTATGGCCACCAGGAGCCTGACCACCAGAAAGAACGACCCCAATTCTCAATTTCACCTCCTCCTTGAAGGCCGCGGCAGCACAAGGGACAATGTGCACTGATGGCTGCCCAAAAAGCTTTGGAAACAGCTGAGCGATGGCGCCTAAGACGAAGAGAAATTCTAAGCAAAAAGCTACCAGATCTAGCTCACATACCAGCGTCTCCAACAGCGGAGGTGGACGAGCCATGCTCGACCTTGAAATGCCCCTCGAGCACCGATGGCATTGGCGGCTTGTAGTCGAGCCTGGAGCTCTGGACCGGGCTGTAGACAGAGACCTCGCGACTGCAGGATCGCTTGGCTCCTCCATTCATCAACGCGATCGTCATCGCTGCGCAGTGCCGCTCCTCTCTCAATAGCCGAGCCCTACCCCTCTCAGGCGAAAAAATATTTGTAAGATGCCAGAAGGATATACCGGTAAATATCTCATCGGATAAGAACATTCCCAGGACAATCCGTTTGCATGTTGACGGGTAGTTTAGTCCACGGTGCCCTAATCAAGTTAATATTTAGTTACTTTTTTTACAAAACAGAAATAGGATAAGTCAATGGTCAGCCCTCGACCCTCCACATGGCATTGTTGGATTGGGCCTCGCGCGCGGTCGCTTTGACCCGCGCCGTGTATTGTTGCTGTTCTTGCGGATGGCTGCTGTTCTTGGTGTCTCCGAGGCTGTCGCGCTCCACTGCCACTGCCGAGGACAAATTAGTCTCGGTGGCAGCGGCGGCAGTGGCGGCAGTGATCCCACTCCTCAATCCTTTCCGCCCGCTGTGATTGACCAGCCCAGCGGCGCCGCTAGCGCTGTTCTTCTTCCGGATGTCCGCCGGAGGGATGAAGCAATCCTCCGAGAGCCCCGGGACGTTGAGCGCCACCTCCTCGATCGTCCAGTCCTCCTCCATCCTCGTCCTGGTGTGACCCATGGCCACCTCCCCGAATCTAAACAGCGTCACGCACGAATGCCCCGAGTGGGCGATCACCAGGCCGTCGACGCTGCGGTAGTCCTCCAGCGTCGACTCGATGCTCGTCTCCCAGTAGACGACCTCGCCCGCCGACGCCTGGATGCGGGTGAGGTGCGAGTCCTCGATCCGGACGAGCAGTCCGGTCCTCTGGCTGAAGTAGCCGAAGAGTACGTGGCGGATGATCTCGGCGGGGCCGTCGCTGCGGGCGCCCAGCGTGTATGGGTCGGCGGCGAGCTTGAGCACGAAGCAATCCTCGCCACCCAGCCGCTTCTCGCCCACGCAAACCGCGCCAGAAAAGATGGTGGCAGTCGTCAACGGATCCAATCCCTGTTGCAAAGACAAAAGCGCCATGAGATCTTGACATTCCGATTCCAATCTTTTGGATTCGTGATCGAGCAATCGCGGAAGAGAGAATGCGAGCGCGCGATGATACCATCCATACCTGGAGGACGCGACGAAGTGGGCGAACGGGTCCCTTGGCGGCGTGAGGACCCATCCAGGGGTTTTGCCTCCAGACGAGCTTGCCATCGCATCCGGCATGGACTTTGCTGGATCCTCCGCCCAGCACCAGCTCCACGTACCACATGTCGGGCTTCATCTGCCACAGCACGAAGCAGCCCGCCTCGGCGGGGCGGAATGGGTTCTTGGTGCGCACCACGCGATTCACGGTCTCGAATTCCGACAGAGACATCCGGATCTTGCCCGCCGCGTACGAGTTGTGGATCGAGGCCAGGAATTTGGAGCCCCCGGATGCTGCCATGTACTGGTGGAGGATGTACTGCGCGGACGTCGACTCCTGCCAGATCGAAGAAGCCACGCACGTCAGTCTCGATCCAAGGAAGAAACCACCCAAGAACACCCAAGAACACTCGGCCAAGAACACCACGCACTTACAATGGGGCCATCCCTGGGCGAGACGCGAGCGTAGAGGCAATGGGCGCTGCTAGCGGCGATGGGCGCGAGTGGAGCTCCCAGCACGCCCAGCAGCAGCCGCACGTCCGAGTGCTTGTAGCCCAGCAGTGGCAGCGTCGTCTTCTCGATCTGCTCCATCATCCAGCTCCGGAAGGATCCCTGCCGCTTGGTGGCGCCGCCGCCGCCGCCGCTGCCACCGCCGCCAAGGGATCCGTTGCCGCCGCCTCCATCGGCATCGGCATCCGGGCCCTCGCGGACCGGCGCCAGCGTCTCGTGAGGTCTGATCAAGCTGCCGCTGCGAACCATGTGGATTTGCTGCGACGACAGCGCCGCTGCCTGCTGGAGGATGAAATCCGGCGATCCCGAGCGCTGCTGCTGCTGCTGCTGCTTCCTGGACGAGCTCCCCGGGCGGAGGAGGAACAAATCCTTGAGCTTGCTCTCCAGTCGCCGCAGCCCTCTGCCCGGGGAGATTCCGCGCTGCCACGACCTGTGCTTGTGGCTGGATTGCTGCTGCTCGGCCATGGAGCTCGCTCGAGGATGTGTTGACGATCCAAGGCCCGATCTTGGGCTAGTGTCAAATCACCATCTTCGTTCGTTTGTGGCAGGGAGGGCAGGGAGGAGAGGATAAGAGGGAGCGATCGATGGATTGGATGGGAGAGAGGATGATAGATCTCTTGGACAACGCGCGCACACGCAGGCAGCAGTAGCAGAGAATGCGAGCGAGTGAGAATGGCTACTCTCTCCTGGGACGTGACAACAAGGTGTGACAGGGATGATCAGAGAAAGAGAGTCGTGGACTCGTGTCCTCGCGGCGCTATGGATGGATGGATAGATGGATGATGGAAAACTGGATCGATGCAAAAGCTCAGTGATCTTGGCGATGAGAGGAGAGGCGTGGAGTGGTTGCTATCGAGCCAGCAAGAAAGGAACTTTGGTGTTTTTGGCAGCCCGGAGCAGACACGCGGAGAGCTGAGATGGATCGCGGCCCGCCCCGGCCAGTCAAAAGCGCGCTCGCGCTGCACAGAGGAGAGAGTGGAGTGTACCAATCACGCACACAAATGTGGTTTGTTTGGGAGCTGCCCGGATGGATGGAGGAGTGATTGATGAGAGTGAGAGAGACACCACCACAGCTTGGACGATCACCAGCACCAGCGAAACGAACGAGATACGGCAGAGGAAGAAATGGAGATATGGAGAGGAGAGCTCTTCCTAGTGACCGGTATTACGATTTAGTGACAGTCTCATCGTCCGCCCGAGCAATGCGAGAATTGAGAGAGTCCGAGACAAGTACCCCGCTGCTGCTCGCGGAGAAAGCAAGAACAGCGAGCATTTATACCTCTGGATGATCCACAGAGAGAAGAAGCAGTGGTGGCAGGGAAGAAAGAAAAAGAGCTCCAGGGCTCTCTGCTGCTAGCTTTTGCTGCTGCTGCTGCTGCTGCCTGCGGCTGCTAGGATCGAGATGGAGGAGAGAAGGAGGGGCAAACCAGAAAGCGATGGATGAACAGCAAGAGCGTAAGGATCATCAACCTGGATGCAAGCATTTAGTGTTCGCAGTCAAGCCTTGGATTGGGACCTGCCATAAACTCCTCGGATGCTGACCATCATGCGACAAACCAAGAACTCTGGGACCTCGGCTCGCTCGCTCGCTCACAAGAATCCAAAGCTTTTCTCCTCTGAGTAGTAGAAGAACCAGCTCGATCGATCTCTCGGTGCGCTCTCTCTTTTTAGCGCTTCGGGGAAGTCGATCCGCTGGATCAAACGACAACAATGCGGTGACAAAACCCTCGGCTCTGTTTTAAATTCTTCGTCGCGAATCGCGAGGAGAAAAGAGTACTTGTTGGAGAAGAGAGAGAAGGCGATCCGCCATAGCCAGAGAAAGAAGGAAGAAGGAAGAAGAAGGTTTACGCTTGCTTGCGTTCACACTGGCAGGGGAAAAAAGAAAGAGCTCTACGGTAAGAAATGTACGAGGAGCGTTAACAAGGGGAAATTAAAAACCTTTGGTAAAAAAGCCGGCGGTAAGAAAGCGGCCACGTGCGTTGTGTACTGGCCGTCACATGCGCGACACGTGGCGGACAAACTCTCCTGGGCGAGTGTTGAGCCACCATGGCCACAAACCGGCATTAACGGCTCGCCCTCCGTACGCACGCGATCATCGTCTCTTCTCTTCCACTCGAAGAAACAAAAGGAACAAAGGAAGTGGGGTGGTTTGGAGATCGCAATCCATGGCATTCTCCCCAGAGATCCAAGTTGGTGACAAACGAACAAGGGATCTCGCGATCTCGTGTAATTCCACTCGCGGTAGCGATGCGCGAACTACAAGGATCAATCGAGCATTCTTCCAATTTGATCAATGCGAGGACGATGATCGATCCAACTCCAAGGTAGCTTCAAGGAAACGAGATGGAGTGTGAGTGAGTGCGCCAGGTGTGTATGAACCATGACACCAGAAAGAAATCAAACATCTCTTTCCAAACAACATTATTTTGCCCGATCGCGTGTTCGATTCCTTCCAGGGCCAGCTCGATGGACGGACAGGGTTCGTTGCCCATCCCTGTCACACCCCGGGGCGTACGGATGCCTCTCAAATCTTTGACCGTGAAACTTGTTTGTTGGTGACAACGAAGAACCCTAATCAAAACTTAGATTGATGTGGAAAGCGCGATTGAATTGAGCGAAATTGTCAATTGCTACTGCTATTGGTCCGCTCCAATCCAATTTCCAATCGCTTGCGAGCTGATCTAGCCCATATAGGTAATGCCGCTGGCAATGGCAGCAATGCAATCCACTCCACACAGTGGTAGCGGCAGCAGCTTGATGGTCGTGATGGTGACAAATTGGAAAACAGTTAAGCAGAGATTGGCAGCGGCAGAGGAAGCTTTTATATATGTGTGGATGATGGCTCTGAAAGCTCTGTTCCATTCAATTGGACTCCAGAGAGCTGGCTGCTGCGCGATAAACAATTCGTATTCGCTCTCTCATCATCGCATCCATCGTCATCGACTGCGGCAGCGCCAAATTCATGCGCTGCTTCGTTCATCAATGCGCAATGGAGTGGTTCCCCTGTTTTAGGGTTCTTGGCGGCATTTGGCGCGCTTTAGGGTTCTTCGTCCTTGAGCGATGACTATGGCGATTGCGATTGCGGTTTCCTGGCAGCCGCCGCCTTGCAGGATCAAGTGCCCGTGGGTAGGCGCCGGCTTTCGGAGGCACTCGGTCGCGGGATTCGTTCGGCAGCAGGGAGAGCTTAGGGCTGGGAAATCTGTGCTGAGGTAAGAAGGATTGGATTGGCTTTGCTGCATTTCCAATTCTCCTCCTGTTGCGGTGACGAGCAGAGATCATTCTCCTCATTCACTGGGTCTGTGGAAGCTACATCATTCTTCTTCTCTGGATTGCCTTGTGGAGAGGCCAAGTGAGGTTCTCATGGGTTTCTGGTGTGGGCCGGAGCGTGAAGATGGATCGGGTGTCGTCCTCGGCCAATTCGCTCCAGTAAGATGATCGACGCCAGGGCGACATCTCTCTCTCTCTCTCTCTCTCTCTCTCTGTCTCTGGCAGCAAACATTGAGTACTTCAACATGGAAGAACCATTGTCTTCTTTTTCTTTTTCTTTGGACTACTCATGAACTGTGGCTCGTTTGTTTGGCAGATGCTATGCTACGCTGAAGACGAAAAAGAAAAAAGTATGCAGTGACAGAAACTCTGGGTGGAGATGAGGGGCATCGATCCCCTTACCTATCGCATGCGAAGCGATCGCTCTACCATCTGAGCTACATCCCCTTGCTCGCCTTCCAAGCTTCGAGGAGCTCTCTCAACACACTCGAAATGGTGGTGGTGCTCAGATCAGGATATGGTGGTTGCCAAGAGAAGATTGTGGCTGGGGTCATTGGAGCTGAGCTTGGCAGCTCGGCCCCCGCGCTCCAAATCACTGTGGATCCTGCACGAGTTGAGGAAGGAGGCCCACACCACCTCGTCCGGGACGAAAGGCATGGCTTTTAAAAGCTCTTCCGCGTCGCCCATCCGGCCAGCCCGGCCCAGAATGTCCACCACGCAGCTCCCTCGCAGGAGCCAGGCTGTGATCTTGGCTCATGGACTGGAATTGGAGCCGAGCTTCCGCCAGGAGCCCGAGGTGGCTACACGAGTTTAAGATGCTGACGAACGCCACCTCGTCGGGACGGAAGAGCTCCAGAGCTTCTTCTCCCAGGCCCCGCGCGGTGTAGGCCTCGAGCATCACGTCCCAGGTTATGGTGTTGTTGCTGCCGGGAGTTTGCTCGAAGATCTCGCGAGCTTCTTCCGTGAATCCACTGGATGCGTAGATGGTCACCGTGGCGTTCCAGGAAACCGTGTCTCTCATTGGCATGGTGTGGAAAACTTTGAGAGCTGCGGCGAGATCGCCATTGTTCGCATATCCGATGAGCAGGGTGTTCCACGAAACTACATCACGCCGGGGGATGAGATCGAAGGTGGTTTTGGCCTCGAGCATGTAATGCCCGTGCTCGGCATAGAGGTGGACCATGGTGTTCGAGGCAACCATGTCCTGGTGAGCGTAAGCCACCACCACGATTGTCCACGAAACCACGCTTGATCCACCAATCCCATTATCGTCAAACACTTGCTTAGCCTCCACCATCTCTCCCATTTTCGACTCGAACTCCATCACCACCGTGACACTCGACGTTGTTTTGAGGGGCATCTTCTCAGACGTCATCCTCAATTCGGTGCCATGCCCGGCCGCTCGATAGCCTTGGAGCAACGCGTTCCACGATACATGGTTTCTCTCCGCCATAGCATCAAAGGTTTCTTTCGCCATCGCCAAGTTGTTGCTCCCGTCATATGCTGGCGGCGCTTTTGCCATATACCTGCTCTTTGCGTATCTAGGAACCATGAGAGTCCAAGATATGACATCCTTCTCGGGCATTCCAAGGAAACAATTCTCCGCATCGGGGCCTTGAATTGTGTTCCATACAATGAGACCATTTTCTCTACGAGCGGCTTAGTGGCATCGATACGTCCGTTCTGGGCATTTGCGTTCACCATTGCGTTCCATGACACCTCGTTGCGCTCCGGCATTGCATCAAACACCAACTTTGCCTCTCCTATCTCGCCATTCTGTGCATAAACAGTAATAAGCATTGTCCAAGTCACAAAGTCCGTCTGAGGAGTCTTCTCCAACACCATCTTTGCCTCCTCAAGGTACCCATTCCCAGCATCTTCTTGACACATTGCATTCCACACAAAAAAAAACCTTCCATAACCCTTCAGTTAGGATATTTGTTAATCTAACTTCCTTTTTGACAAAATGTGTGGTTTAGGGTTTAAGCCCTCTGGCGATGGAGGAATGGTGGGCGCGGGCGCTCCTTGGAGGGCGTGAGTCTTACGCGGCCGGGAATTTTCTGGAGCTACCGGAAGCAGGAGTTTACAGGTATTCTTTGCACAGGAGTATTGAGACGCTCTATGTGCGGAAGGTGTTCGATGCCCTCTACAAGGATATCGTCGCAACTCTGGCGATCGAGGACTGCTCCCTGTGCCACTTGAATGGCAACTCCGGTGTTGGCAAATCGGCCTTCTTGTGGTACATCATCATCAGGACGGGCATCGACAAGCGGGGCTCGCGCATCCTGTACGAATCGGAGACCTACATTTGGGACTTCAATGGCTCCTCTCTCAGGGTCATCGACAAGAAAGACTACCCTCTTGAACAAATCGAGTCGACCGAGGTCGACTACCACCTGATCGATCAGAAGATCGCACCTGGCAGGACGCTTGGAGTTCGAGCTGTGGTTGCGGCCTCTCCAGAAGAGGGCAACACAAAGACCGCGAGGAAGCTGCGCATGACTTACACTAGATACCTCCCGGTTTGGGACAAGCAAGAGTTCGACGCTCTTGTGCAAAGCTGGAAAAGGAGAGCCGATTTGATGCCTCGGCCGGATGGGAAGCTGTCGGTGAAAGCGGAGCTCATATACCGAAGAGTAGATGCTGCCGACTTAGCATACGAATGGTTTGGAGGCGTTCCTCGGTTTCTGTGGGATCGCGAAGCTGAAAACCTCACCGAGGAGGATTTTTCTTCCGACGTTTGCAAGTGCCTTGCCAACACGAAGCTCAAGAATGTGGAAGCCATCCTGCAAAACTCCGCAACCACGCAGAACGTGTCGTGGAGGCTATTTCACTTCGCGTTGAAGCCCGGATCCTTCAGACGCTTCTACTACACATTCTGCTCGGATAAGGTGGCCAACATGTATGCGCAGTACCTGTGTACTAGGAACGTGGATAAGATCAGAAGCTTTCTCGAGGCCACTCAGCCGTTCAAGGAATACGCAAGCTTGCGGGGTTTCGTCTTCGAGCAGTATGCAATTGGCCAGGCTTTGCAGCACAACCTTATGGCCTTGCCGATGGTAAAGCTTGTTAATTCTCAGGCTTGTCACTTAGTTGTGCTTGCAGATTGATTCCGCCTGCTGTGGAGCTTGCCACCAGAAGAACGAGCGCGGGAAAGCTCAGAGGATCCAATGCGGGGTTTGTCTAAGCTGGTATCATACCAAGTGCGTACGGGTGGACGTTATATATACCCCAAAGTTTCGCTGTGGACGCTGCCAGGGTGCTCCCGGGGTAGAATCTGTATCCCCTGGCGGTCTCTTACTGCGTTACTATGAAGGAGATCTCGAAGATGCGTTACTTGCGGCTGGTGAGCTCTTCGTTCTCGGAATAGTTATTTGTTGTGTTTTCAGGTATGGATGCTGCCAAGTACCTGTGGAGACCACTGAAAAAGAACAATGCAGTCTTTGGCTTCGTTCTGTTGCCACGCACTTTGGGCCAGGCCACGGTTTCTCGTGATCACAAACCGGCAGTCAAGCTTCTGGTACAGGCAATGCAGGCCCTGAGACGTTGGAGGCAGGAATACGACCCCGGCTATACTGAGAAGGACGACACCATCCTCTTGTTTTTCGTGCCGCCGGACACTTTCTCGGGCTTCCAGTTTCAGCCATACCGAGTGTCTGGAAAGGTTTCTCAGAAAGCCGTGGAAGGTGAGCTTTGTGCTGCTAGAGTCTGAAAGAATCTAGTTTTTTCTTTCGTTTTGTAGGTGTTCTGCAGTGCAAGGTGGCCGTTCCAGTGCAAGGTAGTCCTTATGTTACGCAGCTCAACCCCAGGAAGTTGGCGGGTGTTGTTCCTGTGGATTTGGACCGGCCGGAAACTTGGGAGGATGCCTTGGGCTGTGTCGGGCCAGCTCAAGATGAGGACGATGGTCCGGAAGTACATCTTACGGAAGAGAAGATTCAGTTGGGTAAGCGCAAGCTGGTGTACGAGGGTAAGTTCCTTGATGCGTTACAAGAGCTCGACGAGATTTGCATGCTCGAGGATACAAAGGGCTACCGAAGTCGACTCGTGGCCCTGTGCAAGATCTACAAGCTTCCTGCTAATTCTACCAACCTGCAGATGCTTACTGATCTCAAAGCCAAGCGTCAAGATCTTGAAGACATGGATATGGACTAGAAAGTTCGTGGCATTAACGAGTTGTGGAGCCATAAAAATAAAAGAGAGCTCATTTGCGAGCTAGGTGACGATCAAATTCTCGTTAGTACTATGATCATGACCCTGGTAGATGTTTGCCCCCTGTGCCGCAAAGCACTTGTTACAGCCAGGAAGACTCGTGGCTGATTGCTGTCGGTGGACGTGATTAGAGTTCTTCCGGGCGAGAGTGTTTTGAAATCTTCGAGAGACTAGTGTGACTGCGAAAGCCAGGAACTGCGAAATTGAGCAGCAAGGACAAGCGCTTTCTTGAAACGATCCATGAATGATTTTTGTTGCTCCCATAATGGAGCAGAAGCTGTTTGGATCCAAAGTTGCAACGCCAGGGGGGCTTGACCTCATCTCTTGGAGCTCCAGCAGCCATAGCCAAAAGAAACTACAGAACGTGCAATAAAATGAGACCACGAAGGTGAAAAAATCGTTTCTGCAGAGATAAAAAAAACTGCAAGGCAAACCCTGTCAATAGGTATCATACCAAACTTTCAAAGTCTCTCTAACAGAAGTTTCAAAACCAAGGCTAGAGCAGTAGCGATCCCATCAGTGAGCTACCTCACTCGGGCCACTGCAGACGGGTCTTTGTTGAAGCATTTAAAGTGTTTAATAATGTTTAACAACATTGGTAGAATAAGTGAAAAATCACATAGCCTACCAATGGCATGGCCCTGAGCGTATGTGTAAGCATCTCTATCATTAGATAGTGGCAATAAAGTAGCTTTGAATTTTAAAGTGTTTTTGTTAAATTTTTTGAGTGTTCTCTTGAAACTCACCAAAAGTATGATGTTGTAAGAAGTATGTGTATGGGAATTAGTTTATTATGATGTTGTAAATCTTTTTATTTATAGTATCAGGATTAAAAGGGTAGGGGAGAATTTTAGAGCTAGAATGAGTATCTTGATCTTTCTAGCTAACAGGTGAATTTAGTAGCCTTGGATTTGTCTAGCCTCTACCTAAGCCACTTTTGCATTCTTACATTTCCACATAGGCCATATGGCAAATTCAGGATATTACAAACATTTGGTGGTACAAGCATAATAAAGTGGCCTTTTTTGTAAATAAAGTGTTATATAACACTTTAGCTTTCAGTAGATCTTTCTATTTATAAAAAAGGTAATGTAATATTTATGATATATTGCTGTAGTGATGTTGTTATATCAGATGCATCCACCTGATCCTCTATCCACCATTTTTTTCCTAAATTATAAAAAAAATACATCAATATTAAGATCTATCAACAACTAAATAAAAATTTAAGTGTTTCTTATTTCTGTGGGAGGTTCTAAATATATAATAGAGATAGTGAATATGGCTAACCAATTTGAGGCATTTTTTTTATGTGTCTATCTTTGTTTTGTGTCTAACTTAGGTCTAAGCTTAAATTCCATACCATGCTAATTGATGAAGTACCTATATCCTTATGTTAAGCCATCAATATGCTGAAATTGTGCTAAAATTTATTTGACTTTATTTTGCATGTTAGTTTTGATATTGGGATGTTTAATGCTCTAAGACTATTTTATGCTCTTATCCCTCCACTCTTTGGGCTGAACACTCAGAAGTTGTTTCATACTCTAGTTCCTTCATTCCTTGGTTGAATACTTAGTTGTTTAGCTATGTTCAATGGTTCAAGGCCTTAAAATTTGGGTTTACTCTATTGCCCTTAAACACGTGGCTAATTCCATTCCATGATTATCTTATAATAAATCACTATAGGGTAAAGGATATATACTATAATTCTTCACAATTTATATAAAACTTAACAGCCCTAAGGTTGAAAGTATAAAGACAAGAGATTCAAGAAGGAAAACTAGCTTATATGCAATCATGGTATGGAAAATTTAGCTTGTCATCATCATAGCCATTCCACATCACAACCTCCTTAATTTGCCAAGTTAATTCTTGCAAAACCCAACCCTAATGCACTTGTAATGTGATTAAGTAAAAAACATAATGTCCCCAAAATTCAAATCAAAGCATGAAAATAAATATGCTGACATACTAATCATATGATACCCATACTATATGAATGGATATTTAAGTATGTTCATGTTTTAACCTAATATCTACAAAGGCATTTAGTTAACATTTGAACTATCTATAAAATCTAGTTACACAGGCTTAGGTGGGATATGCAGTGGCCCCAAGGCATTGCAAATTATACATCATGATATTTTGTTTTGTTTCTTATTATTTGATGTCCAAAAAATTGATTTACCTCACTTCTTGTTAATTTCAATTTCAGTACTAAAATTCTATGTAGCTACATCCTGAATGTGATAATATGATTTCAATAGTCTAATCAATATCTTTGACTATGATTATAGGTATTTTTCTCTAAAATTCTTATATCCACAATTGCTTGTTACAACTTTTAGCCTTTTTAAATGAGTATTTACTCAAGTTTGCTAGAGCCAGCCTAGGGGCTGTATGAGCCCCAAGGGCAAAAGCCAAGTGAGCATTTTACACTTAGAAAATTTTGCTTCTTGAAAGTGGCTAATACTCTAGGCTAGTGAGCACAGCTAACATATGTGAGACTTCAATCATGCTGTCTTTCCTTGCCATGTCATGTTTTCTTATCTCTTTTGCCACATGAGCTTAAATAATGAGATTTAACAAGAGGCCAATGGAAGTGGGGTGGTTTGAAGTTTGCAATCCATGGTGTTCTCCCCAAGGCATTTGCATAATCCACACTTCAACTTGGGGTTTAAATTTTAAAAATTGGCCTTCTCTCTAGAGATCCAAGGTTGGTGGCAAACAGACTAGGGATCTCACAATCTCACTTGCGATAGCGATGTGCAAACTATAAAGACATTCTTCCAATTGATCAATGCAAGGATGATGATTGATCCAACTCCAAGGTAGGTTCAAGGAAATGAGATGGAGTGTGAGTGAGTGCACCAAGTCTGAAGGAACTATAACACAAGAAGAGTACTTCTAGTGGTGCATGTTTTACATATCATTTTGCTCTCAAACACGCTCAAAACACAGACAACTCTTCTATAGTCAAAAAACTCAATACATCATGCCCTCATCATTCACAAAGAAGAAAGATATATGCCCTCCACATAGAATATCCTCTCTCACACTTAAAATATTCCCTAAAGGGAATATTTAGAGAATATTTATGCTCTAAGATCAGGCAACCATAGGTGGATCAAGAAGAGAACCCATGAGCTATAGCTATAAAATTGGCAAGAGAAAGCAAATGCTCAATAGAGGTAACTATAGAAAGAGAGTGAACTAGCAGGTGTGAAATTTAAAGATAGAGGGAAAACCCAATGGGAAACTTTATAGTCAAACTAGACCCTTGGTCCAACATGAAAAAGAAGAAGAAAGTGAAAGGAAAAGCTAAAAAAAAGTGAGAAAACTTAAAGAAAAGAGAAGAAGGAAGAAAAAGATAAAAAACTAAAGCTCAAGTTAAGACTCAAATGTAGATCACAACCTTCAAAGTTCTCAAAGCTCCAAAAAATACCCCAAGTTTCTCTAAAGTTTTGCTATGGAATAGAAGTGTATTGCTGTAAGCTCCTAAGTTTGGACTTCCCGGGAGGTCACCCAACCCAGTACTATTCAAACCCAAGGACGCTTAACCCCAAATATCTTAAGACCCTTAACCAATTGGAAAAGGGATTCATGGGCCCTTTCCCTTTATATTTGAACCCCTATGGATCATCTCTCGAGTCGTTCTCTTTGGTTGCTTACAATCCACCACACTTCCCTGCAAGTTCACGCCCTCGTGAACGGAAGCTGAGAGCCACAGCTCTCCCGAGAGCCCCGCTCTCTTGACACCCTACCCCTCGGGTCGAGCCCAGCGGGAGCAAACTGGACCAGCCAGGTGTCCACCACACTTCCCTGCAAGTTCACGCCCTCGTGAACGGAAGCTGAGAGCCACAGCTCTCCCGAGAGCCCTGCTCTCTTGACACCCTACCCCTCGGGTCGAGCCCAGCGGGAGCAAACTGGACCAGCCAGGTGTCAATCAACATGTGGTGCGATTCCCTTAGCCAACCAACAGAGTCGGACCCAAGACTCCTCTGATACCAAATGTAAGCTTCTGAGTTTGGACTTCATGAGAGGTCACCCAGCCTAGTACTATTCAAACCCAAGGACGCTTAACCCCAAATATCCCAAGACCCTTAACCAATTAGAAAAGGGGGTGCACTCTTATTCATGGGCCCTTTCCCTCTATATTTGAACCCCTATGGATCATCTCTCGAGTCGTTCCCTTTGGTTGCTTACAATTGCCCAATAGTGGAAAGTGCGAAAAAGTGTGATAATGGAGGAAAATGATGAGTGCCTTACCAATGCTTAGTCAAGAAGAATATTAGCCACAATTTGTGATGAAGAGATCTCTAAAACCACTAGCTAAATTGTGCAAAAATTGAACCTCTCAACGACAATGCACCAAGAAATGCAACAAACTAAGCTGCTAAAAGTCAAGAGAAACAAGTGGGGAAACAAACCGCACCATGGAATGGACTTGGATGCCTGTATATAAGGCCCAACTAACCAATAAAAGCCTTTGCTTCCACTACTACATAAGGAATTTATAAGATATAAATCCCTAAGCCCCAAAGTGGAGTAGAAAAAGGGCCACATGGTAGTGGTCAAAGTGGAAGTCTAATAAGTATAACATATTTGGACTAAAGGCTTTGACTTGGAAAGTCGAGAGTGGGAGTGGAACTTCGAACAAAATGCTCAAGCAATGAGCATGAAACAATCGGTGAATGAGTTTCTAAAAAGGGACACAAGAAGGATTAATAGTGTCTTGACATGTCAGAAATGAGTCCAAGATGGAGTCCGAGATGGAGTTTGAGAACGAATCTGATATGAAGTCCGAGATGGAGTTTGATATGGACCCAAGATGGACCTGAGATGGAGTTTGAGAGGGACTAGGGATGGAGTTCGAGATGGACCCGAGATGAAGTTTGAGATGGACCCAAGATGGAGTCTATGGTTGAGGCCAAGAAAGAGACTAAGACCGAGATTGAGACCAAGTCTGAGACCGAGTCCGAGATCGAGACCGAGACTAAGTCTGAGTCCAAGTCT